AAATCTACTCTAACTTCATAATCTGAAACAAGTTTAAATCTATTTCCTCATTGCAAAAAATAAAAAGAAAAAGAAATCTGAAATTGTCCTTCATTACAATAATTACACATATATGCTCTGAACGTGAGTAAAGAAATCCTTCTTAGAAATGTTGAGAACTTATCTCCTTAAAGATAGTGGTATTTTTGCAAAAACGGATGATCACTTGGTAATTTAAAATAAGTTTCAAATGAATTCCTCATTGCATTCTGTTAAGAGCATATGTATAATTGGACAATAAGGAGGACAATTTGCGAATTTTTTATAATTTTTTGCAACGAGAAATTTATTCTGAACTTCATAAAAATTAAAAAATGATAGCCAATTTTTTCAAAAACGCCATTATAAGTCAAAAAATATGAGCTCAAAATTTTTAAGAAGCAATTTTTAGTCCAAACATTTAAGAGCATATAGAAATAAAGGACGACACTTTGCGAATTTTTTGTAACTTTTTCCAATGATTTTCAGGTTAGTAATAGACTAGATATCAGGATTAATTTAAATTTAGATTATTCAAAATATTATTTAAAGAACGGATTCGTTTTCAATTTCTCGGTTTATAGTAAATAAACGGAAAGAAATAGGATTTTTTTTATTTTTTTTTTTTTTAAATTCTTTCTGTATTTTGCTAAAAAATCATAGCTTATATCATAGCATTTGAAATTTGTTTCGGATTACAAAGTAAGTGTCCAAAAAATTTTCAAAAAATTAAAAGAAACCTTAGATGCAATGAAATAACTAACATTTTTTTAAGCTAGACATTTTTAAGAAACATTTGTTTAAACTATAAGACGTTAAGAGCATGAATATGGTTAACATAATGGAGGACACTTTGCAAATTTTTTATAATTATTTGCAATGAAAACATTTGGAGCTAGTTTCAGATTAAAAAGTTAGCGTCAAATTTTTGAAATATATATGGTGCCAGCTCCTGTACACAAAGCCGATCCCAGTTCTCTATAGTGCCAGTTCCTGTGCTGTAACCTGATATCAGTTCTCAGATCCGTAAGCTAGAAGTACCGCCAGTCAATGTAAGCTGAAAGCTGATCCCTGTGCACGACGAGGAAGCAGTGGGGATTTCCCGGAGAGAGAGCGTGTTTGACAACGAACCGAAAAAGACGTGATGATATGCACTCCAAAGAGGAGTTATTATTAAACTAAACTTTCAGACGAACTCTCATTTATTATTTTTTTGTTATTTAATCGTTAATTGTTAATCGTCCGTCCCTATGTAAATTTAATCTTCAATATATGTTTTTGTTAAAGAACGTGTCTTTTATTTAAGACGACCACTCATGCCGTCCCCACATATATATCCATTGTTGCAAAGAAATAAATACCCAAAATTTGTAAGAAGCATTTGTTTAGTTAAAACCACGCTACATAAAGAGCTATGCTACGTCATCCCTCCTAGAGCTTATCAGTGGGTTGAACTCTTATCATCCATACTGAGGAAGTTGGGTGTAGCGCTCATCCTATGGACGGGAGAGGTCATTGATCCGAATGGAGATGAAGCTCTCATTCCATAGCACTATAGTAGGAGAGGTCATCAATCCTAAAAGTTGTGCTCATTTTTCCCCTACTGACAATTAAAAAATTTCAAGTATTTGATAATTTTCTTGCATTTATTAAATTAAATATTCACTGTCGAGAAAGGCATAAAAAGTTGATGGTTAAATGTACAAATTCGAAAATAATGTTTTGAAATAACCTACTGGCTGATAAAAGCATGAATAAATATTTATTAATTATTCCCTTACATTTAATGCAAGATAATTTTATTTATTCAAAACGATTTTGAGCATAGGAGTAATAAATTAAGTTCTCCAGAAAAGGTCGTCTCCTTAAAGTATTGAAGCAGTTTCAAAAATCTAAAGTGGTTTGTAGTCACTTCGTTTAAAAAAAATGGTTGTAGTTTTAGTTGTGACAAAAATGGATGGTAAAAAAGTAATTTTAATTGTAATAAACAACGAAAATAATGTAGTTTTTCGTTACCGCTGGTTAAGATCTGTTGTACTTTAGTCAAATAACATTAAAAATTAAACCTTTACTGTCATCAAAAATTTTCTCGGTTCTGATTGTAACTTCATTTTCAATTTCATTTTAATTTAGATTTCATTTTTAATTTGCTATGAAACTTGCATAAAAAAATTTCGTCAAACATTTTATGGTTAGAGTTTTATTTCGAATTAATTCTTATCTTAATGACTCCACTGCCTAATTTTGAACACGATATATTAAGAGTTACGATATCAGGCACAAAAACATAGTTTCTCTGAATAAACATATGTCTTTTCCCACGAATTTAGATTCGTGACCCATAAAATATGGTGCACTCTGAAGAATATGGTTCACTTTGAAGAGCAGTCTAATGTTTACATATTTCGTAGCACTTATACTTTCGTAGACTCTATGACTCTCCTGTGACTCTGCACCTGCTAATGGCGAAGTGTGCCATTAATAAACAGTTTTGCTTTGCAGTGCCCACTAGTAGTCCATTTTTTACTGCCGATTGCATAATAAATGTCTCATTTTAGAATTGGCGATTGAAATGGGCTTCAGGTGGCGTAGAGCAGAACTCTCTCTACCTACGGCAACACTTTACATGCTTTCCCCATTAGCGTGAGGAGAATCATAGAAGAAGGGAGTACGCTAGTTTATGTCTTGATTTTCATATAGATTAAAATCTTTTATTTTGGGAAACTATATGGAACTGAAAACTACATTAAACACAGTTATAAGAGAAAGTATCATGGAAATTTCGAAAAATACTTTTATTAATTAAAAATGCAAAATATTAAGAAAAGGAAAGACATCGTAGTACATTCCTATGCAATTGAAAAGAGGAGGAGAGGGAAAGGAGAAGGGCCAAAGGCCTGGAACTGGTCTTCACCCCGTATGACTTATTCGAGCGTTGCTATCGTCTATAATAGATTTTCATTAATTTAAAAGAAAACAAAATTAAATTTTTAAAAGCATCTAAAAATAGAGAGACATGCAGTAGTAAATAATTTACACAAAATGACATATAGCATAGTAATATTGCTTTACATTTTTGAAAAGAAAAAAATCTATAGAAGCCCTAAAAAAACATCAATCATTATTTCTCTAAACCTGATAAAGTGACCACTTTTTTTCAATCTTTCTTGAAAGGTATAACCAGTTTGAATGTGACTCTATTACTAAAAGTTTGTTTTATAAAAATTTAATCTTAACTTCAAAAGAATGTCAGAAAGTCAAGGGGCTAGACTCCTTATAATCAAACCTTTAATACCTAAAACTTGCCGCCCTGGCGGCCGAGTGGTTAGCATGCCTGACTGCGGAGACGACGGTTACGGGTTCGAATCCCGCTCAGGGCATGGATGTTTCTTTCTCTCTGTGTTCTATGTCCTTTCTCCTGTGTGTAATTGCGTGAATGTGACCCCCCCGCCCTATAAACGGGTTTGTGGTTGTGTGACGCGGGCGACGCTGCTGCACCGCCGTGGCTTCGCCACAGGTGCCCACTGGGTAACGAGAAGAGAGCAGCAGTTCTGACACTCCTGGCCAATAGGACAATACATCCCAAGTGAACGCCACTAAAAAAAATACTTGAAACTACATAAATGGGAATTTATGTAGTTTTAGCTACTAAAATGAGGGAGGTAGCGCAAAAGGAGAGAAAAAACGGATCATCCTGAATACCGTTTGATCCTAATGATTGGATCAGTACCTACCAGGATAATGGTTTGAGTGAGTGACCTTAACCCACTGACGGTTCTGCACTTAAAAGATCGTATTTTAACCTGCAGTTAACATAGCAAAACCGGTTTTTCCATCTTGCTAAATAGGGAAGTAATGTATTGGGGAGAAACATTCTTCCAATTTCGCCCACTTAACCATCTGTGGGATAAATATACTGATTTATTAGTGCAGACGATATTTGATGTTACAAAATCGGTCACGAAAAAACATACTTTCCCTGAATAAGCATGGCTTTTTTTCGACTGATTTGAATTTCTGATCCTCAAAATGTTGGTTGTAACCACAATCTGAAAAATGTGGTCCTAATAGTTTAATCAGGGAGCGATCCAAAGTTAGGATCCCTTATTGTTAATTTTACTTTTTACGTATTTCACCATATCTAGATAATTTTTTAAGCAAATTGAAACTGCTCTACGCCACCTGCAGCCCTTTTCGATTGCCAATATCATCTGCACTAACTAGCATGTTTGGCTGCTGTAAAAGATAATTGTGGTTAAATAGCACGTTATATTTTATTTTATTTATTACTATTTCTTTTAATATTTTGGGAAAAAACGTTGAGAAGAAAATTAGTCTTATTATTTCTGAAAATGATTTGATTATTTTTCTAAAGGGTCTTAAAGTTAATATCCCTACACTATAAAAAAAAAATATGTAAAATCTGGCCACTATTTCTTCGTTTTAATTAAGGGTCTCATCAATCTGACATGCTAGTTTGGCAATTCCTTTATGATTTCAACAGAACGGATTTGATTTCTTTTGTAGTAATAAACAAATTTTAATAAAAATAAAGTTTTTATACTTCGACTTTTTTCGTAAAATTAATCCATTTTCTTTTAAAACTCGTATAAAAATAAAATTTTACGTGAATGCATTAAAAAAAAAAAACGCACTTTTTATATNTTTTTTTTTTTTTTTTTTTTTTTTTTTTTTTTTTTTTTTTTTTTTTTTTTTTAATATAACTAAAGTAAAAAAGCAGCAAACTGCTCCGTCCTTTCCTCCGTAAGTTGCGTCTTGTTACCCTTTCAGATAGTTTGAGTTTGTAGCGCTTTCTGTACTTTTAATTGTAAACTGGGCTCTTCAAAATCGATATCTAAAATAGAACAAAAATAGACAACCCAAGACGTTTCAAGTTTTAATAAAAAATAAACAATTATAGTTTTTACCCAAAGAAAAAAGAAACTATTAATTATTAATATTTCGTCTTAGTAAGCCGTTTTGTCTTTGAAACTATATTATAAGCTCAACTTGTTGTTTCTAATGCTCTAAAAGAGTTTATGTTCCCCTGTTAGCTATATATGTTTGAAATCAATACCTTTTTGTAACTATATGGCCGCATTTTAATTTTTTATGTTCTCACAAGTTTAAAACTTTATTAAGTGTCTTTTCTTTTCGTAAATGCTTGAATAAGAATAATGAAGAATATCGAGTATAATGAAGTAAAAATTTTGTTATCTTTTCTGCAGAAATTTTCGAAAGATTTTTTTCCCCCTCCAGAATTATATTCAAAAGATGCCTTTCTTGCTCATCGAAGGAGAAGGGAATACTCGTAATTTTTTCTATTCTTATTTCAAAATAATGAAACATAAAGAATAATGCAGTAAAAAATTTCGGCTTCTTTTTTGCAGGAATTTTTTGAAAATTGGAATTTTATTTCCGTATCGTGATTTGTCTGGCCAACTACAATCGCCAAGATGCCTAATCGATTTTAAATTTGCAAATTTTTTTAATAAAAACATGATGTTTTCCCGGGGGTGGTTACGAGTTATACCTTTCGAGTTGGTCCCTTTCTGTGATGTTTTTTTTTAGTTTCTCGCGGGCCGCTGCCCAGAAGTTCCCAAGCCTTGGCGATCATTCTGCCAAATCTCCCCAAAGTATTCCCCCCCCCCTCCAGAATTCTGTGCCTCAGAGAGAAGAGAAATGCTCATGATTTTTCTATTCTCATTTGAGAATAACAGAAAATTAAGAATAATAAAGTAAAAAAATTAAACTTTCTTTTCGAAAAAAATTTTAAATAATTTTCTTCTCCAAAAATATATTCAAAAGATGTCTTTCTCTGGCATATGAGGGTGAAGAAATGCTTGTGATTTTATTATATTCTCATTTGGGAATAATGAAAAATAAAAAATTATGTAAAAATTTTTGTTTTTCTTTTCTGGAGAAATTTTTGAAAGATTTTTTTTTCTTCAGAATTATATTCATAAGATGTCTTTCTCTGGCATTGAAGGGGGAAATAATGCTTATGATTTTTATATTTTTATTTGAGAATAAACAAATTAGATAATGACTGACTTTAGCTAAAATTTCATTTCAATAACAGGGTGCGTAGCATTTTTAAAAAGTGCTTCTATTATTTAGNCTTATTTTCGACTTTCATTTTTTGAAAGCCCTTAAAGGTGCTTTTTTCATTGGGTGTTTTTATAAAGTGCTTAATTTTCTCTTTTCCAAAATGAGATTTTTTTTCTTTACCATATCAATTTCTGCTTCGAACTACTCAAAAAGCGTGGTTTTCACATTGTTCTATTCAACATTTCATAATTAATTCAACCACAATATATTTTGACGTATCATCGGTCTGTAGCATATGAAAGCGCCAATCATTTTATGAAATACCTGCGGGTTCGAATACTGAGCAGGATTCGGTGGGAAGGATTCATGCATCTTCATGAGCAACTCTGCTGCATTTTGCAAGAAAGATAATCTTTTAATTATTTATAATTTTGAATAAATTTTTTACATAATTGTGTAAAGTAATTATAAATTTAAAGAATTGAATGATTCTCTCAATATTGAATGTATTTAATATTGCGAAATTATTTTTATGGTGGCTAATATAACCACAAAAAAATTCTTTGTCTAGTTATTTTACTAGTTATAAAACTAGTTATTTTATCATGATCATATCACTTTTTAAATCTACTTTGCATTTTGTTATCATATATTTATGAAGATCTTTCAACAATATAAAGGAAAAAAAATTATGAGTGTGCATATCCTAATTTGAAATATTTTGCTTAAAAGTGCTTAAAAATATTTTTTGAGTGCTTAAAAAGTACTTAAAAGATACTTATTTTTTGTTGAAAAATTTAAATATGCACCCTGAATAATGTATTTAAAAAAAAATTACTAAATCACGAAAGTTTAAAAAATGTACTTTCATTTTTTTAAACAGCACCATATTTTACATTTTAATAAAATTTGACTGTTAGTAGGGATTTTGTTACAAATTCAAATTTGTAGCAAAATAATACTCTCCTTTTTTTTTTTATTATTTCAGGCAAAATCAACTCAATAATTTTAATATATTTTGCACATGAAAATTTTAAATCTTGCATTTGAGTCTTCACTCTATCAATCACAACTCGCACCGATTCTATTGTATCAAAAATTTGTGCAATTTTACTAGAAAGGTAATGATGTCAAAAGACATTAAGAATAAATTATTTCCAAATTTCAACAATAATTTATGTAAAAAAAAATTTTTTTTTAAATAATAGTAAAAATTAACTTTTAAGATAAATGTAAAAGCTACTTTTTTTCGTATTCCAATATATTTATTTAAGTATATTCATTTAAATTTATTTGCATTAATTATTTTTATTATCTGCACTATAGCAAAAAATTTATTGTGCATATTATTTGTTATTCATTCTACTTTCAATCAGAATCAGCTTTATGTTGATGTTGGCCCCAACACTGCATTTTGTAATTTTTATTTACGCGAATCAGGTTCCTCAAATAGGTGTTTCATTTCGAGATTACGCTGTTGTAATAAATTATGTAGCATAAAAAATATCGGATTTAGCAACTAATGAGAAATCCAATAACAATAACTGACAAAAATTCGACAGAATATTTGCTTTAAAAAGTAAATACTCAAATGCATGATTTAAATTTTCCATATTGTTTAAAATATATTGGGAAATTTAAAATCCACATGAAAATCAATATCAATTACTGCCAAAAATACAATCGAAACATTACATCGATTTACGATACTATCGTTTAAAATTGAGCGCGTCAAAAAGTGATTATCTAAATGCATGTTTCAAGTATTACGTGTAAATTTCTAACGAAAAGAGAACTAAAATTTTTTATTTTTCAAAAGGAAAATCTTTCTGCAGGAACTCTGTAACGTTCTGCGACAATGTCGCTGGGATTCTACCACAGGGTATATCATTCAAATTAAAATATGTTTCCATAAGATGAAGATTTCAAAAATGAATTAAAACATTTTTGCTCAATTTTTTAGCATGCCATCAAGATTATTTGCTTAAAAATGATCAAATAATTTGAGAAAATTTTTTAAAAATTAGTAAAATTATAAAAAATAGCTTTAGTAGTAACAGGGTGGGGAAAAGTTTGCAAACCAACTCTTTGTTCTTTTTTTTGTTTTTTTGTCATTTCTTTAAAAAAAAACGTAAATATGGGTTTTTTGGGCAAGTGGTGGGTAGACACTGGCATAACAAGTGCCTTTTTTATTATGAAATATCAACTTTTTTTTCTTTTCTTTAATGGGTATTATACATTGAACTGAATAGCTTTTATATAATATAGCATATATATTTATTTGTTTCACTATCAAATTTTATATTTCTATTTATACAATTTCATTTTATACAGATTATGGCAGCCAACAAATTTCCTTTTATCCAGGCCAAAATGCTTGAGCTTCATAATATACTTCTTCAGTTAGAAGTAAGTTCAATAAGTTTTCTTCGAAATTGTGAAATTTGTGGAATTCTTGATTTTCTGAAATGTAATTTAAAATAAATAAATTATCAATTTGACTTTAAACATATATAGTAAAAGAGTAATGATGCCACTTGACTGATTTTTCTATGCCAATAGCACATAAATGATTAATTTGAATTATATTAGAAATCTCTGAACAGAATTCAATATATTTCTTATTTATTTTTGTAAGCTATTTGAATCTAGTCTTCGATTTATTTGAATTCGACAGCTCAACTAAAATAATAATTTTTTATTGAACATGAAATCTTTAACTGTGTTGCATAGTTTCGCAATGGAAAAACATTATTTAACTAAAAATAAAACAAGACTTCAAAATACCCTGTGGTTTTTAAGTCCATGTATAAGGACCAATAACTTTTTCCACCATTAAGTACAGTAGAGAACCATTTATCCGGTATCCAGATAACCGGGGGAAATTTTGATCAGTTTTAAACTAGAACGATTATTAAAAAAAGCGGAAATTGTACTCATCCTTGAAGTTGAGTAGAGGAAAATGTAAGGAAGGGGAGAATTTTTTTCCCCGTTTACCCAGAGAAACGTCATTTCCTCTGTGACCTTGAAGGCAGAGAAGGGAGGAATGTTTTATTTTCTCCTTTAGGACGTCAATCAAGCTCAAGGGTGTGGCATGCTGATTTCGTTTTCTGTTTGATTTACGAGGGGGGTGGGGGAAATGCATTGCATGCATATCAGTGAACAGAAGATAAAAGAGAAAAATATATTTATCTATTTGACATCGATTAATAAAAATAAAATAAGTTTCTTCTGAATAAATTCTCATTCTTTGGAAGTGCGGTATCATTTGCAAGTTTTTATTGATGTGGAATCACATCTGCTGTAATTAAATATTATGTTTTTATCAGCAAAAAAAATAAATAAAAGGAGAATTGTTTATTAATTTAAACATAGGATTATTATATGAAGCAGATTGCAGTTTTGTTTTTCTGATTCCACTATGTTTGATATTTTTTTCTTTTCACGATAAATTTCGCACTCAATAAATTAATTCTTTTTATTCATAAATTTTATCATTAGTTTTTTTTTAATATTCCGTTGATCTTGCCTTGTTCCGGGTTTTAATATTTATGCTAGTGCCTTTTTTAACTATTGTTTCGGTTCGATAATTTTCAAGTGTTTTTATTTAGATTAATAAGTTTTCCTTTTAATTTATCGTTTCCCTCGTATAATTAGGTATGAAATATATTTCGTTATTTAACCATTGGTTTTGTTTATATTAGTTAATTTAGGAATTGTAATTATTTTTAAAAAATAAATACAGGAATTTTGTATTTTTTAAACTTGTTTTTCTTGTCTAAACTTGCAAATTTTTTTATTGTTTTAAATGTTATTTTTCTACCATTTCTTTTTAAAGTTAGAAGTACCTTTCTTTTATCTTTTACTTTATGCATGACACTTTTTCCTTGTAATTCGGGTTCGATAAAACATCGATTAACAGCACTTTTTGGTCGATCCAGAAAACCGGGAAATTCAGACATACGGGATAGCGATGGTCCCGAACATCCCGGATAATTGGTTCTCTACTGTAATAAGTATTTCTTTCAGACAAAATCTCAAAGCTCTGAAAAGATTAAGTTGTTTATGTCTTTTTTTTAATATTTATTTTTGTAGCTAACCAGAATCTTGTCTGTGATGTAGGTAGTTTTACTGTTCCACAAAAAAAATTTTTATTGAGCATGAACCTTTAAACTGCACTATGCAATTACATGATTAAAAACATGTTCTAAGAATAAAAACAGGCCTCGAAATCCCCAGTGTTCTGTAAATTCAGAACTATTACTAAATTTTTGCTTAGGATATCCGTAAATAATAATCGGCGGTTTCTTGGATCTTGATCTCTGGTCAGTGCCAATCATGTATAAGGACATGATATGTTGATTTATGTCATTAAATAGCATAACTCATTATAATTGTAAATATTACATTTTCTGAAATTTTCTTTTATTGGGTTCCCCTTCCCTTTGGTAATTTTTTTCCCAACTTTCAATATAATGCTCTACCTAAGCCAATAGCCAGCCAGCTAAAAGTAACTTCTAGTCTTTTCTTCTTTTTTTTTAAAAAAAAAGGAAGAAAAAAAAATGGCATTTGCATGTTGTAAACCGGATTTAAATACAACCTGCATTTGTGCCATCATAGTTTTGTTAGTTAACCTACATGTTATTTTCTAATTTTTGTGATGAATTATTAAAAAAATTGTAGATTGCTAACTTAAGTTAAATATGTAATATTTAAACTGTTACATAATAAAAATACTTAAATTTAATATTGCCTCTTCCATGTTTATTAAATTTTCTTCATGCATTTTTAAACTTTTTTGCAAAAATCTAATTACAGGGATGTGATTCTTCCGCGGATTTCCGCTTTTTCTCAGATTTTTCCATTTTTTCCGTTAATTTCCGCGGAAATTTTTTTTTGCACATGTTAAAATATTTTATGAGGAATTTAAATTTCGGCGGAGCGAAAATATTGAAATCCACATTCCTCCCTCTGAAGTTTCTCTAAAAATCATTTCATTGGGATAATACTGATTGACCTTTATACAGGGATGAGATTTTTTCGCTTTTGTCTCTCGAATTTCAGCCTTTTTATCAAAAACTCCGATTCTCTAAAAGTTTCGTTTTTCTTAAAATAAATATTCCGATTTTTTTTAAAAAATTCAGTCGTTGAAATAAAATAATTATATTTATTTACGATTTTCGAAGATAAACAGAAAATTCAAACTGCGTCCTAGCTGCTAACTCTTCTGCATTTTTACTTATTTTAGCTAATCTCTCCGCTTTTGCGCACAGAAAATAAGATTTTCCGTACTTTTATCCGTCCTCCGGATAGCTCATATTTTCGTAATTCATCGTATTTCGTTTCGTCGCTGCTTCCTGTTTTCTGGCTTAAAAGCAAACGAAAGAAGAAAAAAAAAGTAGGTGGATTTGCGGTGAAAATATTTATTTGCTCATTCAATTAATCTTGTTAATTTTTATTTATTATGTCTAAACAAAAACATTACAAACAAGCCTTTTAGAAATCCCAAGTCCAGACTCTGCAAATATCTCGATTCGTATGTCATTCATCGATTTTCGTATTTACCTGATTTAAAAGTTGCGCCTTGTGATTCTTATGCACGCTATTTAAATATCGTGCATTATGATTCTTATTTACGAGATTTAAAAATCCAATATCACGTTTTGTACTTACTTGCTGTTAAAACCCTATGTAGCTATTTGTATTCACGCGAGCTTAAAATTCAAAGTCGTGATTCGTTTTTGCGGTTGTAATATCAAACATCGATTTTCGTATTTATACATGCTTTTTAAAAATTAGACGTTGGGATTCGTATTCGCGCGATTTAAAAATTATGCCTCATGATTCGCATTTATGTGATTTAGAAATTACGCATTATGATTTGTATTTTCGATTTTTTTAAATTCGATAGAGTTTCATATTCACTCGATTTAAAAGCCTCATATCGGGATTCATATTCTCTCAATTTAAAATCATGCATGTGATTCATATTCATACAATTTTATAATTAACCATCGGGATTTATAATCACATAGTTTACAAGTTTAAAGATCGATTTTTTTTTTGGTCAAATTTTTGGATATATATATATTCATTCATGGATTTCCTCTTTTTTACTTTCTGACTACTCTCATCCCTGTAATTAAGACATTTGAAGGAGCCTATGATATCTTATGGTAATTGGCTTTATAACTTTACCTTTGATAAAACCATATGTTATCATGGGATACTCAAAATAACCTTAGCAAGCTTTATAAAAATTTTGGCCCCTTTCTCTCTTGTCAGAAAAAAAATAAAAATATCAAATCAAAACCTCCAACTACTTACAGGTTTACTCAATAAAAATTGCTTCAAAATTAGGGCCAGGTCTGCCCGTTGGATAAATTTTTTATGTTTTCTACAAATGAAATGTCTTGTTTACTTTCTTTTTAAATGAGATTTATTAATATTTGAATCTTGATAGGAAGAGAGACTCAGAGAGCAGAGTAATCTAGATAATCTTACAAAAGCATTTGACGAGCCTTCAGAATCAAAACCTGCTATTCAAAAGATGAAATTGGTTGGCATGTACAAGACTTGCTTGAACAATACAGAAATAGAAATGGATCTGATGCAAAAAGCTTTAGGTCTTCTTAATGAAATTCAAACGGTTCGCTTCTCTAGTGTTGCTTCTAAAGCGGCTGGTGAGTTTTTTATTTTTAATTTAAAACATTATTAAAATGTAGGGTCAACAAATATAAGGATCCACAATTTCATGACCAACGATCAAGATGGTAACAATGTGTTGAGCATGGTGCACCGATCACCTTTATTTCCGAAGCAAGCTGGTAGGGTGACCTGGGGTAATTCCTGATCAAAAAATGCAAACATCTATTTTGTGAAAAAACTATTTAAGATAGAATTTTAATATTTACTGGAAGTTCGAGGCTATATGAGATGAGTCCTATGCTACCTTCTTTTGTTTGAAAATCTTATTAGAATTTAAAAGATTTTAAATTTTTAGTGATCAGGAATTACCCCTTCTCTTGATCATTTCTGGGGTAATTCCTGATCACTTCTGGGGTAATTACTGATCACCAGTTTTTATAGTAAATGGGCTGTTTAAAAATAATTATACAATGGTAATTAACAAATAAGACATTAAGATCAAACAAATAAACAAAAAAGATATTTTTAAGCAGCTATTAAAACGAATACAGAAGTGGGCGACCTTTGTGCTAAAATACAAACTAAGGTCGACAACATTAAAGAGCACAAAAATATCATTAAAAGCAGACAGCTGTTTCGGATGCTCAAAGGGCAACCTTTATCAGTGCAACAGAAAACAATAAGAGAACAGAGTAAATATATATAGAAAGATGACGTCACAAGAGGGTTTAGAGCAACGGCCAATAGGAGGGAAGGGTGAATGGAAGACGACGAATAAGAAGCAAGGAACAAAAAGGGGGGAGGGGGTTAGTTAGGTTTTATCATAGATTTCCAAACAGGAGAAATATAAGGAACACTTGATAGGTCATTGACCAACAGTTTGGAATTTTTGAAAATATGATAAGACTCATAAAAATCTAAATCATATATTGAGGAACAATTTTGAATGACTTTAGAAGAGGAAAAATTAAAATTATGATTAGAGTCCCAACAATGTTGGGCAATAGATGAGCGTTTAAATTCTTGTTTTTTGACATAAGCTTCATGTTCCTTGACACGGCACTTTAAGGCACGCTTAGTTTGGCCAATATATGAAAGGCCGCATTGGCAATTAATTTGGTATATACCCCAGCTATTTTGACTGTCAATGGGCTGTTTGAGATTAGAAAATTTTATCTTATTAATGGGACTGAAAATAATATTAAAATCAAACTTCTTTAGGATATTAGCAACTTGCCGACTTATTTTAGGAAAATAGGGTAAAATGACTAAATTGTTAGAAAATTCTTTGGAAGGTTTATCGGTAGGCGATTGTTTAGTTAAGTTTTTATAAATATTATCAATAATGTTAGGAGAATAACCTCTGTCATGAGCAATGGCTTTGATGTAATTTAATTCTGCATCAAGAAGATCATTGTTAGAACAAATATTTACCGCACGGTAGACAAAAGACCGAAAAGCTGCAAGTTTTTGGTTGGGAGGATTTGTAGTGAGGGGGAAGAGAAACAGCAAAAGGTTTACGAAAGACAGTAGTATGGAATGAATTATCATTCCGAGTCACAAGCACATCTAAGAAAGGAAGTTTTTGATCAGACTCTAATTCAAAGGTGAACTGAATGCAAGAATCAATGCTGTTCATAACATTAAGGATTTGATCTAAATTACAATTATTATCCTCTAACAAAGCAAAACTGTCATCAACGTATCTTTTATAAAAGGGGAAAGTTAAGATTTTGAATAGTTTACTCTCAAAATAATGCATATAGATGTCACTAAGTATAGGGCTCAAAGGATTTCCCATGGCAAGACCATTGGTCATACGGTAAAATTTGTTGTCAAACGCGAAAGTATTTTGTTGTAAACAGACACGGGTAAGGTTAACATATTCATTGACCTCATATTGGGAAAAATGATATTCCGAAAGTCTAAGTTTTAGGCATTCCAAAGCCCCCTCAACAGGAACATTAGTGAACAGTGATTTTACATCAAATGAGGCCATCAAATAACCATTGGGTTTTAGATTTTTAACTTCTTTAACAAACTCAAGGGAATTTTTGGTAGTAAAAGAATTATTACCAAGGAGAGGGGAGAAGACAGAAACTAAAAATTTTGCGAGTTTGTAAGACGAGGTACCAATGTTGGAGACAATTGGTCTAAAAGGACCTGACAAATGGAATGGTGCGTATCAGAACACATTTGTCTTGTATACAGTTAAAAACAAATTTTGTGAATATATTTTATAGTTGTTCCACTTAATAAATATGAACTGTTATTTAAGAAAAGACTATTAACTATTTATTAGCTATTTTTTATACTATTTATAAGAAGAAATGACAATGATCAGGAATTACCCCAGTGATTAATAATTACCCCATCTGTACGGGCAACATTTGACATAGTTTCCTATAATCAATTATAATGTTTACAGTAGATGTGAAACAATTAAATAAAAGCTTACACTATTTTAATATCAAAGAAAAAGAAAGTAACTCAAAATATTTATTATTAAGAGAAGGAGGGGGATCTTTGCAGAAATGTGCACATTTTGAAACCCATCTTTGAAGTGGAAAATACAGAAAGCATTTTAAAAGATACTTATTTTGTTAGATTAAACAAAAAACTATTATTAAGTAAATATAGTTATACTTTAGTAAAGTGTACAAGTATTCTTGTCCATGTCTCAATTTTAAAAAAAAATATTTTTTTAAAAAATAAAACTTAGGTGATCATTATTTACCCCAGAAACAGAGTGATCGTGAATTACCCCGGGTCACCCTACCTATCGATCCGTAGCTAAGTGGGCTTCAAGTCGTCACTAGGGATCGAACCCCAGTCCTTCATAATAACGGCTCAGTGACTTATTGCTAGTGCCAATGCATTATTGCCTATAATAAATGTTTAGGGAATAAGCCACACTTATTGCCTATACTTTAAAATTGTACTTTAGCAGAATCAGGGTTACTTGGTTTTTGATTAACATGTTTTACTAAATGCGAAACTTCATTTTCTATAAAGATTCTTAAATATCCATGGACAAGATTCTATCTAATGTTCTGAAACTAGACTTAATGTCTGTAAATTATCTGCTGGTATTATAAAACATAAACTGTAACAAGTTAAATTACTACCATTTTTTTAACGAGGAAAAATTCGATTTTAATTTTGTGTACTAAAATTCTAAATGAAAAAAATGAGAAGAGAACCTTAATAAAGGTATCCCAACTAGGTAAAAATTGGCAATTAATTTTGTCTTTTTTTGTTGTTTATATAACTTATGCTCATAAGCTTTCTATATCTCTTTAAATTTTTGTTCTCTGGTCTTTGTTTGTTGTTTCATCGCATGCTGACAGATGAAGCAGAGTAGCAATTACATACTTTAAATGCACTTGCAGAAAAACATTGATTTTGAGAAAATCTTTTACATATTACTAAAAATTTCATTATAGAATTATTTAAAACTTTCTACGTAGATTTTGTATAATGGTCCCTATGTTTTGAACTAAGGTCTAAGTGTGAATTTATTATTTTTCTTTTACTTTAACTAAGAATGTTAATAATTTTTTTTTTTTAAAATCAATGTTGACCAACATATTTAGTTTTATCTCCTTGTATATTTGAAAAGTTTGAAAGATTTTAGTTCCAAACATAGGTAACCATAATATTAATCTTAAAAAAAAAGTTATTTTGATATTTATGCATTATAATTTATTGTTGAGCTGTTATAGTGACAAAAAATTTGTGGTTTTTATGCTCAAATTTGTCTCTTCTTTTTTTTTAAATTTTTTTTTTATAAATTTTTGAAATTTACTCTAGATTTATAATTTTAGGAACACTGTTAGTTAAAATTGTAATTGAGGTCTTTTTTAAATAAATTGTGTTGAACCCAGTCGGTTACCTTAAATTAGTACATATATAATGCTAGTATAAATGCCTGCATAATTATAATTTTAAAAAAATTATTGGCAGCCTTTAAAATTTGTCCTTGTAACTTAGACATAAATTATTTTGCCGAAAAGTGGAAGTAAATTTGAATGTTCTGTGATGTACATTGCTGTTTTAAGCACTTTCTGCTTTTAAGATAAAGTTTATTTTAAAGGTATTATAGAACCCTGTGCGTTAACTGTAATAAATAAGATTTTTTGTTTTAATTGCTTTACCACGCTTGCTTTTTATTGATTAATTACTAAAATATACAGAAAATATTTTACTATTCTGCATTATAATAAACCATTCATATTTTTTCACCCAGCTCTTAAAATTAAGTTTTTGGTGTGCTTTGTCTCTGTCAATATTATTTTTAATCTATTTGAAATCAATCTCCTTCCATTGTGGTGTACCTGTTAAAAATTACCATGCTATGAACTCAGATGATTCTTTTTTTTTAATGGAACAGTTTCCTTCTTCTATTTCCTACTATTTAAAATGTTCTTATTTTCATTTAGAAAAGTGCAAAGACACTATTAACAAAAGCAACTTGATGGATATGATTGTAATTTATGGTCAAAGTTTGCCATTGTGGGTTGGAGAGTCTGAAGAACCTGCACCACCGCTCTGTGGAGCTATGCAACCTGATCCAGAATATATTGCAAAAGTTTGTTTATTATTCTCTAAAATTTTTTTTAAAAAACTCACTGTAATTAATGCATGCGTACAAAATTGAAGAATTTTCTCCATTAGTTCTAAACATAGTTTTCAAGATACAATTGAAATGCAGTACACACATAAACAGTATATAAAATTAGCAAATTAGACCCTTCTGCAAGTCATCAAAGTCTAATATATTTTACTTATAAATTGATATTATGGGTCTTTCAGATCTTCATCATAATGCTTATTAATTGAAAAATAAATAAATCTATAAAAATCACCATTTGAAATATATATCATTAAAAACCTTCTAAAATTGACGTTTTGGTTAAAGATGTTTATCTTAACAACATTATGTCTAATTATATTAAATAGTCTTTTGTTGCTAGTTAAGCAAATAATTTATGTTTCATTTAAATATTTATCTGAAAAATTAATTATTTTTTTTTTTGTATTCTAAGTCTAGGGAAGTAGTCATATTTGTTTTCATGTGTTATTTACTTATACAGTGAAGCACCATTAATAGTTCCTCATTAATTAATCCTTTTCATTTATACATTATTTCATAGCAGTCTCAATTCATTCTTAACCTATGCAATATTAAAATAGCTAATATATACAGCAGAAAAAACGAAATTTATTGGTTTTACAGCGCTTTTTTCCATTTTTTTATTTATTTAATACGTAAATATTTGGCCTGGATTCAAGACTAACAATCAGACTCTAAAAAACGGAATTTGTCCATCTTGAGATTTTCACTTGTCTGTATAGAAAGAGTTATCTATACATTATGTGTAGTCAGGATACTCCATGATTAAAGGTTTTTTGTTTTACCTTTTTGAGTGGTGTATTGTTTTCAATTTTAATTACTACTACCTCTATTGTTTTTCATATAAATTAAGTGGAAAATTGACAATGCTATTATATTATTTAATTTCCATTTATATGTCGATTTATAGCAGACCCCCACACATAAATGTTGCTTTACTGTATTTGAATATTTGCATTTTTCATAATGGTCTTGCTATCTAATTAATTCTCACCAGTTTTTTTAGTAGTAATTTTTTTACAAGGAAAAAGGTATTTTAGTACCACAGAATTTAAATTTTCTATCTATATTAATGGTTTTGTTTAACCCTTTCGTGACGGGAAGCACGCTTGTCGCTGAAGCCGGCAATCTCTCTCGCGAGTGTCTGTTCAGGGCCGGAAGGTTATTTGCTGTTAAGCCTAAGTCTATGAAATAACCGAAATATCAACGTGTTGTTTAATAATGTTCTGTAGAATATTTAAATTACGTATGCTTTATATATATTTCTATAGATATTTTATTTACTTAAGTCATTTATTGTTTAAATATATATTTTGCAAATTTTATTTTCATTATGTACTTACCATTTAATAACTTTTAACATTATATATCTGAAAACTAAATATATGACTTAAAATTATTTTTTCGTATGAAAAATTTTAAAACACTAACATTGCACTAAAAACTGAACCGCAAATCGAAATACATAACGCTGTGGCAAAAAAAACAACCTCCCCTGCTTTCTGTAAACAAATACCATGCGCGAATTTAAAGAGCCGTCATAAAACATTCCATTCCTTCCCCCTAAAAACCACGTGTATGTGAGTCATACTACTATCATTTTGAGTAGAAGGTCAAATCTACATGTATCTGAAACCATATGGACATACAATGCCATCTTCTGGCAGAAATTTTATATTTTAAAACGTTTCAGGACACTGGCACAAATGAGTGACGACCGGGGGTGAACGAGAAAGCGCTCTGGCGCACCGGCGTGTCGGTCGGGATGTGAGTGTGTTTCTTACTGGCACGTATGTGTGACAGTCGGCACGAAAGGGTTAAAAAACATTCATAAACTTCAGTATTTTAATGCGATTGGATATAAATAATACCAGATTCCTCCTTAAAGTAGCTATTTTACATTTTTGTTTTTATTAAAGCTAGAATTATTGGTGGTCTGGAACAACTAAAATTTGATTTGTAACACAATGAAAAGTATATTAGTGGTCCCTCTGACCATAAATTGATTGCTATCAAAGCAATGATATACCTACTGATTTGCATGTAATAATTTTTTGGTGTTTTGGTCTATATTTTCTTCATAAAATACTTAATTTTTCATATTTTTTTTAATATGAGTACTTGGTAAATATATAACAATTAAATCTAATAGATGTACCAGAACATCCCTGTGAAAACATGTATGGACATGTGAGATCTTTTTCTTACTGGTCCTTTGGACAGAAATTAAGATACGGTAGAAGTTTAGTTGCTGATCTTGGACTAGTGATTAAATTTTCTAAATTTCTACCCCTGTTTGTATTACATTTCATTGCAATTTGATGAATAAATATTTATGGTCCTTATTCAATATAAAGTAATATATAAAAATTTTACAGGTAGGTGATTTAGTAGCTGCATGTGTAAAAATGGAAGAAGACTCATCTAAATCTACTTGGATTTTAGCTGAAGTAACTGGTTTCGATTCAGATAAGAATGAATATACTATATATGACATTGATGAGCGTGAGAAACCTGAGTCTGTAATTGAGTCGGGTAAAATAATACCCCTACCTTTATGGAGAGCTCATCCCACTGAAAATCCTGAAGCCATTTTTCCCAAAAACAGTTATGTGCTTGCTCTCTACCCTCAGACTACTTGTTTTTATCCTGCAGTGGTGTCACAGTCACCTGAAAAACCAGAGGATAGTTATAGTCTTATGTTTGAAGATTCATCTTACACTGGGGGATACTCTCCACCGAATGAAATCTGCCAACGCTATGTGTTGAGTTTTAAGGAAATAGCTGATGAATAAGCCGATTTCCTTGTTAAGAACCTGTAAATAACCTGTACATAATTTTAACGTATGTTTCTGTGCTTTTATGTATAAAAATTAAAAACAGTGTTTTTAACTTTAGTGCTATTTTTTTTTCAAAGGTGTTTCTTTACATACAAGTAAAGTCCAGACTTAGATGATATTTGATTTCTTGAAAAACTATTCTTTTTCAGTGATTTTTAGAATGAGGAATTTTTTCCTTGAATGATTTTTGTTTTAAAAATTTGTCTTTTATTGTTTATATTTATAATTCAGTGGTTATTCATATTTATAATATATTAAGATATTTTTCTCTTATTTAGTTATTTTAACATTTATTTCAATCTTTAATCATTTAAATTTCTATGAAAAATTAGATTGAAATTCTTTTTTCAATTATGAGGGGAAAAAATTCCATTTCAAAGGCAATTTTTTTATAATTTTAAGAACATTTTTTTTAAAAAAATTAAGTTTTCCTATATATTAATAAGCTATTTGCAGGAACATATTTAATTAATATAAAGGCATCTATTTATATTTACACATTATTTGTAAGTAAATTAATTGATTGTAATTTTATAAAATTCACATATATGCCAAAATATACCTTGGAAATGGAAGCTAATAATATTTCCAAATAGTTTCGTAACTAAACAGTTTCCAAAACAAAGTCTTTTTTTCTTGTTAACATTTATAATCAGCTTCTTCTTATAAAAAGTCTTATTTATTTTAACCTTTAATTTGATTTAAACCTAAATATGTCATGATACATTTATTTTTATCTAAGGTGAAAAAAATGAACTTCTGAGCCCCTTTTAAGCAAAAGCAATTTTATTACGTCAAAAGGATTAAGGCTTACATCACAAAAATTTTACAACAAAACAACTTTGTACATTCTTGGTCTTGGCATTGTAATGATGGTAATGGCAGGCTGACTTCAAATTTAATGATGTTGATTGGATCATAAATGAAGAAATCACAGGTTTGTTTTCTAACAAAATAAGTCTCACGGAGTGATTGCAGAATTCTCATTACTTTGGGTAGAATCGGAAAAGAATACTTCAGCTTTAAATATTTCAGGTGGCTCATATTTTATGTTCTTCTTTGGTTCATTGGTTTTTTTCTGAAAGGAAAATATAATTTTTAAAAAAAATGACACAAACAGTAAAATATTATTGCATGCCAAATAATTTTTTTTCTCCTTTAATAGCAAGAAGTTATAATGATAATGCAATCATTGAAGAACCCAAAGCGCTACAACTGGTGAGTTGGACTTTACCATTTTGCTGCTATCTGGACTTAAAAAATAACATTTTCTGTAATGTTATTTAATTAATGAAATTAGGCCTATTTTTAGACCTTACATACATATATTCGAATTCAGATATTTCTATAGGGACATTCCACGTTAGCTGAACTAGTGGTTTTTTGCTCCTCACTCATTTTAATAAAATTTGTTGTACAATTTCTTAAAAAACTTGTTAATTGAACATCTTCAAAATTCTCAATTGAGGATCTAAAAAACAGTTGCAGATTTAGTTGAAAAGCTTCTGTGTTTTTATTTAAATATTTCTTCATATGGGTCATTCTCAAAAAAACTGTCATTTTTCAGNGCTTCTGTGTTTTTATTTAAATATTTCTTCATATATATTTTAAAAAATAATAATAATCAAATGGCAAGTTTTAAGGGGGAGGGGAATCTGTAATTTAATATTATAATGCTCGTAAAAACTATAAGAGTGAAAAATAATGCTAAGTAAAATTCTAATGGTTTGATAACTTTTTCACAAATAAAATATCACACCTATCCTATGATATATAAATCTAGACATTAATATTTTTGCTTCAGAAGTTTAAATAAAATTTAGAGTTAAAATGTTTTTCAGTTTTAAGTTAAACTCATATTGTATTTGTCTTAAATATAAAAGAATCTCATTTTACAAATCATGTTTACCATATATTCATGTAGTTAAGGAATTACACATGTCACTCACGTTAAATCAATCATACCATATAACCTATTACTGCTGCAGTTTTTAGCATCTAGCTACACTTAAACTGAAATTTAAAAATTGGTTCACTTGGCATAGCATAACAGAGACACATAAGTGTGTGAACACTTTTGAGTATACTTTAAGTATAGTAAAAATTTATTCATGTAAGAGCCTAGTAATTGGTTTAATTCTTATGTGTCCTTTCTCATGAAGTACAAAATGTACAATGTGCAAAATAACTTTCGATCTAATGATCGGATTTTCATGTTTTAGGACTTTATCTTAATGGTTCGAGGGGGTGACTTCAAATAAGCTGATTAATAAGTGCAGAGGATATTTTAAGTTATGAAATCAGACACAAAAATGTCAGATAATTAAAATTTGATTTCTCAGGAAGTATTCAACCGATTTATGATGCAAAAATTTTTACACCTTACAATTCTAAATTTTTTTTACCATTATTGAAAAAATAATAATAAATATTTACTAAAACATCTTTGGGTAAACAAATTTTCTCAACTATGTAAAAACCAAGGTTTACAAAAATTATAATTCTGAAATGTTAAATTACAATTTTTTTATTTAATGTAAAAAATAAATAAATAATAAAATATGGTTTAGAAATCATTTAAAGCAAGTTTTTTTGTTTGTCCAAATAAATTGCAATCTTGTCCTCTGTTTTTTATTTTTTATAGATGATTTTGAAACCATATCAATTATGCATTTCAGAATTCCTCACATTGTATCTTTTTCTTAAGTGTTTAAAGAGATTTGTATCTAGAACATAATATTAAGTTGCATATTTGAATAAAAAAATTTGGAAAGAGTCTAAAGACAATATGATTGAACCAACCAGAAGCCAAAATACCTTGAATATATTTTTGAAACCAAATACCTCAATTATATTTTTACCATTCATTCAAAAGAAAAAAAATTACATTGTAGCTTGGCCTATGATATATTTAAGTCTTAGAAATTTTACATTGAAATAATTAATCAAATCACTTACTGAAAACAAAGGTTTTTGTAGAGTATTAAATAGCTTTTTTACAGAACTACTCTCTAATTGCTCTTCTGCAACATTTACTTTCTCCTCCAAAACATCCAGATTCTGCTTAACAACTTTGAGCATTTCCTAGAAAATTGTATTTCTTATAAATTATTAAAATAGATTTAGAAAATATTTTCTTGAATGTCTAACAATATCATATTAATATTTTTATAAGCATTTTTATATAACCGCCGTTGAACAACCGACCCAATTTAGGGTTTATGGCTACTAACTCTGTGGTCTTGTTCTACATACCACTGAGAATATTGGTTGGTGAGAGCCGGGTGTGGAATTCGAATCGACCAGCTATCGATGGGATCGAACCCAGGTCACCTCATTGGGTAGCGAACGCTCTATCCCCTAAGCCACCACGCTCTTTTTATAAGCATTGTAATAATAGAAATAAGCATTAATATTGAAAATTCTGAAAATATGCGAAATGTAAAGAAAGATTTTTATTTCTGTACGCAACAAGCACTTTATTATAGTCCTTTATTGTGTTCTTATTAACCAATAATACCTAAATGAAACAGTTAAGGCAAGAATAAAATCTTTTCTGTATCCATCACATCTATATATGCACACAGTGAAATCTTGGTTAAGTGGACTTTTTCTGGAATTGTCCAGTTATGGGAAGAGTACACTAACAGGAAAGGCTAACACCATAAATTGTTTTTAGCATAGTTGCAATGATATATAAATAGTTAAATAATCTCTAATAACCATCAACTTAATAAAATCATAGTATAAAAAGAATAGATCAAGATATTCTATCTATATATTTGCATATTTTTGTTTTATATTTATCCAATTGAAAAGAAAGATGTGATCGAAGTTTGTTTTAACCAGCTTAAGAATACAGCAACATTCATGACATATTTTTAAATCATTTAGCATATTTTTACCAATTTCATCATTTTTGGATAAATGAAAAAATTGTCTTGGTTCCTCAATACAAACTTGAGCATATTATAAAATTTTCACTTTTGGTACTTTTTCAGGCAACATCAATTAAGTATCAGTTTCTTCATTATCATTGACAATATTATTGACTTCATTATTTGCGATTAAATTGTCCATATTTTAAATATTCTTTTGGCATTCGATATTTTCCAGGTCTGCTATTAAAACTCGTAATAAGAACATTTTATATTAATATTTCCTGCTTAATTGCATCCATACCAAAGTAGCAATTATATTACATTAGTCAAAAACAAGTTTACTTTTGCGGAAAGAAATGAAAAACTGAAATATTCTTATCACTGATTTATTATCCTTTCCACATAGGTATCGGGCCTGATTTTCATCCATGTTTACAAAATAATTACGAGGGCGTTTCGAAAAGTAAAGATACAATGGATCGCATTCCTTAAAAAAAAACATTTATTTATAAAACGTCAGTTACATCTTATTAACTTGATTGTTTATTATTTTTCGACATAATCACCCCCGTTATCCAAACATTTGTTAAGTCGGTGCACAAGCATTTGTATCCCACAGTCATAGAAGGTTGCCGCCTGTTGTCGGAACCACATTTCAACTTCATCTTTGATCTCATCATCGTCGTGGAATGATTTTCCACCAAGATGTGACTTCAGGTAAAGGAATAAATGGAAGTCGCTGGGCGCAAGGTCCGGGCTGTATGGTGGATGGTCCAATACTTGCCATTTGAATTGTTTGAGTTGTGCTTTGGTTACGAGCGCTGTGTGAGGCCGAGCGTTGTCATGAAGCAAGCGGACTCCATTTGTCAGCATTCCCCTGCGTTTGTTTTGAATTGCCCTTCGAAGACGTTTCAAAGTCTGGCAATATGCAGCTGCATTAATTGTCGTTCCGGGAGGCATAAATTCCAATAGAAGAATGCCTTGTCTGTCCCAAAAAACAGAAGCCATGATTTTTTTCGCTGAAATCGAAGTTTTGAATTTCTTGGCTTTGGGTGAATTCGAATGGCGCCATTGCATTGATTGTTGCTTGGATTCAGGTTTATGGTGATAAACCCACGTCTCGTCACCTGTCACAATGTGATCAAGGAACTCATCACCTGCTTCTGCATAGCGTGTGAGGAAGTCGAGTGCAAAGCCCATCCTTTTCTTTTTGTGTTCTTCTGTTAACATTTTTGGAACCCAGCGCGCACACAATTTCCTGTACCCTAACTTGACAGTCACAACTTCATAAAGAGTTGTCATTGAAACTTCCGGTATGATCTGACTCAATTCTTTCAATTTGAGACGTCTATTCGCACGAATTGCTTCCTCCGTTCTCTGAAGAAGGGCGTCACAGATCACAGATGGCCGACCTGTTCTTTGTTCGTCATGAATATCGGTCCTACCTTTAGAGAAATGACGACACCACTTCGTTACATTTTGTCTATTCTTAACGTTCCCATAAACAGAAACAATTTCTTTATGAATATTCGCTGGTCTCTGACCTTTTGCATGGAGAAAACGTATGACGGAGCGCACTTCACATTTGGCGGGATTCTGATTCACCGCNAATTGCATCCATACCAAAGTAGCAATTATATTACATTAGTCAAAAACAAGTTTACTTTTGCGGAAAGAAATGAAAAACTGAAATATTCTTATCACTGATTTATTATCCTTTCCACATACGTATCGGGCCTGATTTTCATCCATGTTTACAAAATAATTATGTTGATAACACTTTCTCCTGCCAAGCACATCAAATTTGGAAACAGAACCGTCAGAATTTCAGTAATCTATGTCCTATCATCGCTTGAAAGGAAATGTGGCAATACTTCCTTGAATATAAACCTCACAAGATACATAGGGGAAAAAAAGATTGTGACAGTACCTATCTGCGAGGTATCATGCCTGATGGAGTCATTGTATTCTTAATTGATCATAATTTATATGAACAACTGGATAACTAGATTTGTTATCATGTTATTTGTTGTATAGTTATTGAATTGATTAGAAGAAGAGCAGCAGACTGTTGGGTGAATCCATCTCTGCTAGAGGGGAAAGCCTATCTAGTCTTTCAAAACAAAACTATTTTACTAACCAATCTCAACTTGAAAGGGGGTAGTTAAAAATTAAAGTGCTATAAAATTAGGGTTTCATTAAAAGTGACTTAAAATTGGGATTTAATTATCAAATGAAAATGAATGTAATAATTATTAAATCACTGGCCATATTACAACTTAATTATTATCAACAGTTGACTTCATTATTTATTACATAATAGGAAGAAGAACTGAGAACATTTAATGCCTCATTTTAAATTGTGAAGTCTCGTCACCTTTGTCTTCTAGTTTAAAAAATCAAAAGATGTCGCTGTCCAAAATATTCACATGCGCAAAAGCATTTTCTCTCGTTTTTTCTTGCAATGATAAAGGAAGGTGACAGAAGAGTGATTGATTCTTTAGTAGTGAAATAGCTTAACAAAATTGCAAGTTATGGAAAAAGCAAAAATCTGACATGCTTTTAAAAACAGTGGAAAGAGGAACATTATTTTTTTCCTGTTCGAAATAGCTTTTTTTAAGAGATTGAAAATTGTTTGAAGTGATTGAAAATAACATTTTAGCGTCAATGACTGCCTGTGTTTGTTTACGAGAGTGACCGCCTTACGAAGAGGGTATATAATGGTTAATTCGTAAAAGATGTTTGAAGTCTTTCTTTCTTCACATTTCTATGACACAAAACAAAAGATTTCTTAAGAAACTTTAACCAAAGTAAGTAAACCAGCATTTTACCGAAATCAGTAAAAAACTTTAACCAAAGTCAGCAAACCAAAGAACTTTAGTTAAATAATTTTGGTAGATTTTTGTCATTATTTACATGTCCATTTAATTCATGTAAGTATTAATCTATGTTTTCTAAGGTTTCAAGTGCAAATTTTTGACAAATACAATTTAACTCTTATTGACATGCATTTTCTAACAGACTGTCAAAAGATAAAATAATTTTTTCAAATATACTAATTTAACTACAAATCATAACACCATAAGTTCGGGTTGAAAAAATTTTGAAATTAGATAAGTTTAACTACAGCTAAAAAAATTTTATGGTTTAGAAAATGTACTGAGGTTTAAGAAGGCCTAATTTACAAATAAATAAAGTGTTTGCTTAAAAAGTATTTAACTTTGTTTTTATTGTCCTTAACATCCAGATTATAAATAAATTAGTAATAGCATCATTTTACTTGTAAATTGCATAATGTAAAGTTATACAAAATTTTTTGTAATAAATAACTTATGTAAATTAGGTGATGAGCTAATGACGTGTTGAAGAATGGATTTAGGAGGGAAAAAATGTATATTATTACCTCTAACCTATCAATTTTATGGAAAGTAGTCTCCATCTCTTCATATTTTTTATAAATTTCTGGCAGAGTTTGATTGAGGCATAATGCATTATCTCCTCTAACCTTAAATGAACAAAACTCACAAGTTAATCGCATAAAAAGAACAAGGTTCACAGTAAAAATACAAAAAAATATGAAAGTTAATGTACAAAAATCATGCTTTTCAGTAGCAAAGCACTAGAAATTTTGTACCTGTTAAATGTTTAGTCACAGTTTTCTCAGATACTTAATATTCAGTTTTTAAACATCACACAATTAAATACGTTTAGTGTGCTAAAAGCGCATATTTTTTTTCAATAAACTAAACTCAGTGGCGCGAGAGCCCATGAAGGGCCAAGGCCTACTGTGCCCATCTCAGTTTTCTTGGGCTCTGGGGTGCAGGAGCAGATGTTCCGGCCAGGTGGTCAGCCGAACACGGAACTTCCCAGTGTTTAGTTCCCAAGCATGCTTGGTACTCATTTATCGACCCACTGAAGGGATGAAAGGCTGAATCAACCTTGCCCGGTCCGAGGATCGAGCCGGGGACCTGTGGCACGACAGCGCGAAGCGCTACCGCTCAGCCACCGGCTGTCAACATGCTACGCATAAAAAATAATTTTATTTCTTTTCAAATGTATATCTGATACAATGAATAGAAGAAATTTCTAATTCAGCAGGATGGAAACATTTACTCAATGTTAACTCCCCCCCCCAAAAAAAATATGTTTTTACTAGCATTTTTTTAAAAATATAAGCTACTGGTGACACATTAACTCATGCCCAAACATTGTTGACTAATGACAAATTAATTTTCCAATAAATTCAATCAATATTTAGAATATTTTACTTTGCTTCCATATTCACTTACAAAAATACATAATAGCCAGTGAAATGACAGTTTCTGTGAAAAATTTTCAGTCAACAAACCATTAAGAGTTATTAGAGCAAGTAATGTATGAAGTTAGACAAGAAAAATGCAGTTTCATTAGAACAGGTGCTAAAAAATCTAATTTCGTAGCTGCCTTTGTGCACTTCAATTAAATTTTGATACTGATATAAACTGCATATGATATGAACGGTCTATGATTGCTCTTAAAAATATTTTGTTTTACAAAATTTCATTGCTTAATTTCAAAATACTAAATTACAAATACCACATGCACAGGTTAAAAATTGCACAAAATATAATAATAAAAAAAGATTACCATATCAACAAGTGATGTAAACTCATCTAAACGAGTAAGTATGTCTTCCACTTCATCATTCAATACAGCTTTCTAAAAAGTTTTTTATTTTAGTAAAAAAATAGCAATTATACAGTATAAGATGCATTACACTTATTTCAGCATAATATATACAGCTTCAGTTAAAACACATAAAAGGAAAATTTCTCTGATAAAATGCTGAAAATGCCGAAACTTTATGGACTTTTTTCTAATAATGAGTAGAAGTACAGTGCCAAATGCAATTCAAATCTTTTGTTTAAGAAAGATTTCTACCGGTGCCAAAAATTATTCAATTTTGGTGACTGCAAACAGTGACATGAGAAAAAATATAAAAAACATTACAGAAGGGGACCACTTTGAAGTATCAAGTTTATAGGCAGCCCCCCAGGCAAACAACTAAGCATTTTTATTTTAAATATTTGCAAGTTAAAAAATCATTTGCCGTCTGACAGAGGTAGTTGGTGGAAAGCCACACAGATATAGAAAAATATCCCCTTTGTTAAAATTGCATTCGGTTTAAAATTCTCATCATTAGAACCACTTTAAAGATCAGTTTTTCCCTTTTAATTGAAATTCATAGCATAATTTAATGCTTTTTAAAGGCTTGTTAAATGGTCCTTTGAAATTTATTTGCTTATATGGAATGGGGAAGGGTAAGACTGTGAATTCTTGGAGTCGTGAACTGATATTTACGTGAAAAATTTAAACCACTTAAAATTATTCCAAGAAAAGAGCAGGAAACTAAAATTTAAAAATAATCAGTATGTATAGCAAAGAATATTAGTTTAAATTTAAACGCGTAAAATTAAATATACTACAAAAAACTTGAAAGTTTCCCTTCATATTTACTCAATTAAAAAATATTGTTTTCTTATCTTACTTTTATATGAAATATTAAAACCTATTTAACCTATTGAAATGTTTTATTTTAAATGAATTATACTCCTATTTTCATAAATAAGTATAAATATGTACTCTTACATCTAAATAAATTATGTGTACTTATTCTTTTTAGTTTACATAATCCATTTTTAAAAAAAGAAAATTAATTCACTGTTTAGATAACAATTAACTCTAGAAAAGTTAATTCAACTCAATAATTTAAATTAAGAATTTGGAATAAATTAATTAATTAATTACTTTGTTAGGATTGTTTTCAACTGGTTAAATTTTCCCAGCAATTTAAAATTTTACCATTATTTTATTCAAAAAATATCGTTTATATAAAAATGCACCTTCAAATAAATATTTTATCACAATTTTCAGTTTTAAATACAGAAAAAAAAGCTTTCAAGTTGTTTAACAATTAATCCTTTTCTTCCTTCCTCAATAACCGTTAGCAGTGATATTTGATTTGGGTGGTCTTACAATCAGCCCACTATAGTATGCAACGTCTGAAAGGACATAGGAAACTAAAACCAGTACTAAGAAAAACATTGAAGTGAAACTTATATTTACTGTACCTGTTAAGTTTTAATACTAATTATACAGTTTAGAAACAGTAGATAAAATTAAAGCAAACAAGTAAAAAATATTCATAAAGAAAAACAGCTTAAACTATTATTTGTAGATGGTAAAATTAAAGTTCAAGAAGTAAAAAACGATAAATTATGCACTTGAAGTTTATAATGTTAGAACCTAAAAAGCTCTACACGTTATTAAACTTCATAGAATATTTGATGTCTGTTTTTAAATACTGCAGCTCTGTAAAAGAAAAAAAAAAAATTAATGAATAAGGTGAAAATACACTAAAATGTAAAATTTAATTAACAAGCATTCACAGTTGGTAAGGTAACTACCATGAGAAAACAAAAGAAAATTTTCTTAAAAGCTAATTTTATTACTTATATTCCTTAAACGAATAAGAGATTTTTAAAAGCAAGAGATACTTACTTCAGATGCTGCATTTACTTGGAGGTACTTAGAATAATCTTCAGTAAGTTGAGTAACAAGAGAACTTATTTTTGGTTTTTCACATGAGTTTTCTTCATCAACAGATTTAATTTCTACAGGTGCCGAAATTTCGTCTGCCATGTTTACAAAAATGTCATGTCTTATTTTTGATGCCATATATAAAAATGGAAGACGCTAAATATATCATTATTTTGTAACTTCAGTAATTCAAAATTTTAATGCATTATTTCATTAAAAACTAATTTATATTTTTATTTTTCAACTCTTAATCATGCTTAATTATTAAAAAAAGAAAAGTCAAATTAATAATTTGACCTACAAAAATTTCGTATATGCAATTGGCATCAAATTTGATTTCAAAAGAGAAACTTGCGTGTACAAAAATAAATCTAAACTTTTGTTGAACTTTTGTAGATCGTTTTAATTTGTTTATGATTTTATAATTTATCGTTAAATTTTTTAACAATAATATTTATGTGAATATTCTAGGAATCGAAAGCTTTTTAGTGAAAATTGTGTTCTTTCAATTTAACTCAAAATATTATTATTTACTTGCAATTTTAGTTATGTATTTCATAGCATAGAATATGTTTTTTATTAATTATGAACTTTAATTTTATTTGTTTTGCTTGTTTTATAATTTGCGTAAAGCACTTTTAAGTTCTAATTATTGTGTTGATTTAAATTTACTATCCTAAGTAAACAAAAAAAATTTATTCTCTTATATAACAGGAATTCTGTATATTTACTTATCAATGATATTTGTGAATACAATTTAATTTTGTTTAATTCTATATTTTTTGTTCTTTTATTTGCTTTGTGTTTGCATGTCATTTTGTATTTCAAGTTTCCTCATAATTAAGCTGATGACTAATTATTGTATGAATTTTTTGAACATTAAAAGTTTTAAATAAAATCCATCAAGTTATAGATGTATGCATATAAAAACTGATTTATCTTTTCTATTTTTTTAATTACCTCATAAAGTAAGTAGTCATTATTTTAGCTTATTTTTTAATTCAAATTACTATTATTTTGTTTCATTTACTTTTGTACTACCAGTTATGGAGAATTGTTGTCACAATTCGCAAAGTAATTACTCTTCTAATAAACAGTTTCTGAGCTTTCAAGTTGTTTATTTATTTATTTTTGATAAGTAAGCAACTATAATTGATTGTTCTACCCATTATTTCCATTATTATGCTTCAATGTATCTTAGCAGTGAAAAAAATATTAGTAATCTCACTAATTGTGAAGACTTCTCTTTCATTTTTATTAATTATTGTGCCTGATTACTTTCTTTTAAATTCTAAGAGATTTAAAATCTTAGTATATAAATTTATGCCTGTTTTATTTGCTATATAACTTTATTTGCCTACTTTGTAAACTTGTTGTAATTATGCATTTTTCAATTGTACATTTTCCAAGACATTTTTTTTATTATCATTGCATTTTGAATTATCTACTTAACTAATGTATTTTAATTTTATTTGTAATATTTTCCTTACTTGCATGCAAATTTATTATTAATTTTTTCTTATAGTTTTATCTTTATAGTTATAATTTTAGCTAGAAAATTACGCTGCTAATTTTATTTATCTATATTTATATTTTATTTATATTATTATATTTTCTTTGATGCATATTTGATCTAGTATGCAGCTATTTTTTTCCCTTTATTTTGTAATTTTTTTAAAATTTTATTTCTCTGACACATTTTTTAGTAACTCTGATTTTTTTTTTCTTTTCTTTTTAGGTGATGTTATTCAGCATTTAATATTAAACTCACAAAGATTTTTAAAATCCAGATCTCCATTAACCCTCAAACAATCAAAAGATGAAGATTTGTATAACTGTAATACGGATGATTACAGATTAAACAGTCCTGACAAGCAACTAGTTTGTCAAATATGTGGCCGTTGGTGCAGTTCTAAAAGTAGTTTACTGACTCACTTAAGAGTGCACACCGGAGAAAAGCCCTTTGCGTGTGATCTATGCGGAAAGAGATTTACGCAGAAAGCAACCCTCCAAAGGCATCGTCATTTACATACTGGTGAGAAGCATTTTAAATGTGATCATTGTGGTAAACGGTTTTATCGTAAAGATAAGTTGTATGAGCATTCTAATGTTCATCGCCAAAATCGTGTGGCAATTCCCATTTCTAACGAAATATATCCTTGACAATTATATTTACAAAATTATTATAAAAAATTTTTCTTAGCATAATTTATTAAGTTATGCAGTCTGATTATTTATTTTATTTATAAAATTCTATTGTGATTTAGTGTAGTTTTTTCATGAAAAAGTGTGGAAAAGAAAAGTAATCAGAAGAATGAAAGATTTAAAATTACTAATTTATTTACCTAATTTGTGCAATTTTTTATTAAGAAAATTAATTAATGCCTTTTTTTTTTTACCAGCAATATCAAAACCAAAATCAGAAACCTTAAAATACTAATTTGATTTGTGCATTTGTTTATTAACTATAAAATTTAAACTGTTTTTTATTGCTTATTTTCTGGCTACAAAAAATGTCTTACTACAACGTAAGTGTAAAGTAAATCATTTCTATCATTCATTGTGAATTGATTGAGGTCTTTGATTCCATTTCCAGTTCTATTTATTTTCAAAAATATAATATGATATACAAAATTTTTTTATATAAACTTATGTTATAATGTTAAAAATATTATTACTTATGTTATATAAATTTGTTTACTTAAAAATTATATAATTTTATGACATTATTGACTTTATTTATGTCGATTTTTATGAGAAACTGAAGAATAAATTATAAGTCACTTTTTTCTTTCTGCAAATACTAAAAAAAGGTAGTACACTTAACTTTTTTCAATTTTTAAAATTGATGCTATGATGAAAGCAATGACTGCTAGTTATGTAATCAAAAAGATCATATTTTGTAAAGTTATGTATTTTAATTTTATTGAATTATCTGATTGATCCGTTACCGCAAATTATTGCTGCAGCCGTCCGATTTTTGATATAGTAAATGTCAGCTATAGTCATCCTGTGCATTATATTAATAAAAAGGGGCATTAACATTTACAAGTGGTGGACCGAAACAAATTCATTATCATTGATATCCACAGGTTTTATATGACAACTTACTAGTTCACTAGTTGAACTTTGCAGTTGTAAAAAAAGATGGGTAAAGTATAAAATATAATTATATTTTTGATTTGGAATCAAATTTTTTATAGTATTCTTGATAACCCAAATGGGTAGTATGTGTTGTTTTTTGGAAGCCTATCAAATTTTTATAATGAAATTAAATAATTGATGATAAAGTATGCCTATTTACTAAATTTAAAAAAAAAATGCTGTTTTGCTAATTTTTTTGATGAAAATCTGTTTTAAGTGCTTTTGAAAACCATTCACCATGCAGTGCAATATTTAAATTCTTTATATTTTATGTGGTTGAACAGTTAATTAATATTGAGTTAATGTTTTGTGAAAATTATTTGTTAGCAAGATTTGAATTGTTTAGGATACTATATTTATTCTTGTTGAAAATATTAAAGATTATTTTGTTATATCTTATGGGGCGATTTTTTAATGCATGAGAAAAATTTACTTCTTTAAAAATACTGAATTTTTGTTGCAATTAGTGAAGTTTTGTGTATGCTTATTAAATAATGTTATATTTATGTTAAAAATTTTCTTAAAATATGCAAATTATAAACCAGTTTTGACAGAATTTATAAATATTGTTTTGTTGATAGAAAAAAGGGCCTGGGTTGGTGCGTTAGGTTACCATAGAAAAAAAATTTATGAATTCATTAAAGTTGTTTCTAATGGAAATTTATTTTTTGTTGGAAAAATTTGTATTTGTCAACTGTTAAGTATTATGAAATAATTTGCATATTATTAGAATTGAAACACGTTTTTCAGACCTATAATATTAAAAAATTTTATATTCTGTATGCCTTTCTTTTTTAAAATTGCAGCATGTTGTGTAGCAAGAAATATGAAATTAGCACTAATACGTTTTACTGTGCCCAGGATCGCTAAAATCTTAAGCATGTCCTTGACAGAAAAACATAATATATTGTTGAATTATTATTAGTAATACTATAGTTTACAGTGAATCTATAAGTGAAAATGAAATTTTGAATTGAAGAGTATTTTACTTATTTTTTACTATAATAGTCTTTAATGAGCTTCCTCAAATCTTGTGACCATTTAACTTTTCTTTTTTTTAGTTAATGCATTGATAAACAGATTGTTAAAGCTTTTTGCAAAAATATCAATTTAAGTAGATTCCCTTGTTAAACTAAAAAAGTTTTTACTTAAGAGCAATCTGATTATAAATTTTTAAAGCAAACATACATATTTTAAATAACAAAAGAAAGCTGTGATATAGTATGTTACACACAATTAAAAAATTAATGTGTTCATTTTCCTGTATATCCTTTGTCAGAATAACTAAATCATGACTTATCAACCATAACATGAACTTACTGTTATTTTTTATATTTAAAACTTAACTCACAGGCGCGACAGCCCATGGAGAGCCAAAGCCTTCTCCCCAGTTTCCTTGATTTTGTGGCTCTGGGTTGCAGGAGTAGATGCTTCAGTTGGGTGGTTGGCTAAACAAGGAACCTTCAGTGTCTAGTACCCAAGCATGCTTGGTACTCATTTTATCGACCCAAAGAATGAGAGTCTTAGTCAAACATGCCCAGTCCCAGGATAGACCTAGGCCATATTGAGTTTAAAAAACATTGTTTTAAATTTAATATCAATTTAACTTAAAATATTGTAAAATTATACTGAATAATAAACCACATTTACTCTTGACTGAAAATACTTACAATACATCCATGAAAATTAAAATAAAATATATTACTACTTATAAACTCAAAGGAATTGTGACCATTTCATAGGTAACAAGTGGTAACACAAAAGTTTTAAGCAAGTAAATCCAACCTCTTTATGTAAATCTGAATCTTTTCCAATTTTTGATCTTGTCTTGAAATCAAAATTACAAATTTAGGAAAAACAAATTAAATGTGATTTTTTCCCAAATCTTAATAAATCTCTGGAAATTTAATGCAAATGAAATTTTTAATGTGGCTGTTACCACATGGACAGAATGTTTCTGTCAGTTTGGTGAAACTTCCTTGTCATCTGGTGCTGTGATTTTTTTTATGTGCAATGACTTTATATCCTTCAAATTTATTTAAATATATCTCACTGATATACATTTATTAATATATTAATGTTTTCACAAATATATGAAGGTAAAGGGAAATCACAATTATATATGTAATTTTATCTGTATATAGAATCTAATTGCAAAAATATATTTATTGTTGTTTATTCAAATAGAAATCTTTACAACCAATGAATTAATAATGGGAATCGAAAGAAAAGTTGTAAGTGCTCCCCCCTTTTTTTTTGGTAAAAAAAAATTTAAAGTTTCAATTACAATGCAGTAAAACTGGCAAAGTGTTTGAAAATATCCTTTAGTTAATTACCGGCATTGAACAGCCTATCTGCATGGTTAATATACTTCTTTTCAAGTTCAACCATGCGACCCTTAAATAGTGTTGTAAAAAGGAGTTCTGTTGGAAATTTTAAGCGGCAGTAGAACTTCTGCTACACATATCAGGATAAATTCGCAGCTCCTCACATTTGCAATGCACAGCAAGAAAGTCCTTTCTAAGATCAGCAACTGATTCATGATCTATTTATTTTAGTGGTCAGTGTCCATCATTGAATATCTCAGAAACAAGCTCTCTAACCACTGTACCATTCCAGCTTACTAGCATTTCTAAACAAGTTGTTCTTACCAGAAAAATTGAATTTACAATTGGCACTTGCAGCTTTTTTTTTCTCCAGTATCTTGTAATACAACCTATAAAAATTTATATAATTTTTTTATATATTGCATTATTACTTAAAGCAAATAATTTTAATGTGTAATAGAAGTAGCCTTTTTGCATACTGCAGTTTACTCTACTTAAATATTGATATGGATAAATATGTTAAAAGTATACATTTATTATATCAATTAACATATTTTACTTTAAAAAAAAAATTATTTTCACAATAGCATAGCTGTCAACTTTACTGGATTTTGCCTGTTTTTCCTTGTTTACTGGTTCAATAAAAATTCTCCTATTTTCGTACATTTTAAAATTGAGTAAGTTTCCTAAAAAAAATCCCTATTGAAATAGCATTTTTGCACACATTATTGCTTGCTTGAATATTTAAATATGTATTACTAATACAAAGTGAAGCGAGTCTCATTTATAGAAATCAGTTTAAAACTTTTTTTTGTTCTAAAATGTTCAATTTATTTTTATTCAAAACTCCCTTTTTAAATTAGTTCATTTAATGTCAATCATTACTGAAAGTAATGCAGTTTTTCTATTTTGGTGACTATAAAAATCCCTATGTATAAAATATTTACATTATGCAGCAATTATCATGAACTTTATATTATTTCGTAAAATCTATGGGAATTTTTCCTGTTTAAGTTGGCAGCTATGCAATAATTTCAGAAATTATTTTTATAGAGGTTGTAAGTTGATTAGAAAAATTCGTGAAAAGCAATATTTAGTGATATGTGTTTTGGAATAAAATGTTTTTGTGTATTCATAATATATTTGTATATACTTACATGAATTAATATATATATATTTAAAAGTTAAAAGGATTTACGTACATATTTACAAAAGAAATAAAAACTATAATGGTTATGGTATATTGTTAAAATTTATATCTATTTAAATAAATCAATTGTATTTATTTGTTATTTGCATATTCATGAAATTTTTAATTACACTGTGAAGAATACACCTTTCGATTTTTTTTTCTTTCTTTCCTCACGTTAATAAGCTTCAAATAGTAGAAATTGTGTATTATGATTTTAAATGTTTAAATTTCAATCTATGAGACTCATCCAATCTGAAATTAGTTTAACATGTCTATTATCTTATGAGCAGATCTTGTATACTGGTGTTATATTATTTATTTAATAAGCAGGATTGGAAAAAATCATTGATTAAATGTTCAGCATTGTAATAATTAATACAATATATTAATAATTATAAACTCACTGATTAAGTAAAATTATGGTTTCTTCTCCAACTAAACATCTTGAAGTATTAAAAACTGGAATTTATCAGTTAGATATCCAATGAAGAGTAAATTAGATAAGTTTCTCTTGGTAGAGCAAGTCTTTCATCATAATTGATGTACACTAACTAAAGTTTTATTAGTACTTATATTTTAATAAAATGGGTATCAATGAGATATGTTTATAAACAGCTAATTTTATTTTAAAAGTAGTTAAATAGCATGCCATTATTCGCTTTTAGTTTTTTTCTTTAATTTCCTTTTTTTTTAAATATAAAAATTTACATACATCATTTCTTTTATTCTTCGGATGAAACCTTCAATACTAATGAAATCAAACTTTAAAAAATATTACAATTTAAAGATTTAAAAAATAGCTTTTTGTATAAAAATATTTTTGACTTAATGATTTATTTTAAGAAAATAAATTGGTTTAAATGAGAGATTTAAATCATGTCAACCCTGTTTGGAAGAGTTAATTTTCATCATAACCCAAAAATTGTGCGAGCAGTTGGACTTGCTGAGTATTGTTCAATAAGAAAGACTTCTTTGGAAAAAAAAGCCTCTTTGCTGCCATATTGTTTCATATCACTTTGGGGTAAAATTTGTTCATTCTGTTCAATAGTTGTATTAAAGACCTTTTCCAGAATTTCTATGGTCTCCCTTAAATAAATTTCTAAACTATGCCCGTCTTTTTTGCAGTCAAAATGGTCTTAGAAAACCTGTGGGAAGATTAAAAAAAGGTTTTGTCTTATGGAACCTCTTGGAAAATTATAATAAAATGTTATAATATGTGGCAACATCTGAAACAAATAAAACATTCTATTACACATTCCAACGTTAAATAACCGTAGGTGGCTTTAATTTGTTATTGCAATATTACTGTTAAAAGTTTTTAAACCACTAGCATACTATAAAGAAGGTAGGCGTCTACGGCGTTTCCAAAAGCTGTATGTTCAGTTAAATAGCAAACTTCAGTTTATATGCACATAAATTAAATAATGAAACATTTTTATTTTGTCCTACATATAACCAGGAAGAAATTTAGATTTTTAAAGAGACTGAAAATTTGATTTGCTAAACTAAACAATTTGAAATACTTAATACTAATAAAGAATTAAGTTTCGAAAATTTTTATTTAATTCATGTAAATGAGTTCAAGTTTAATTAGTCTATATTTTGTATTTAATTTTGGAGCACCAAATTGTCAATACTTAATTTCTCTGAAAATATTTTCTGCCTAAAAATATTTCATAATCTTTTCAGTAAGGCTGAATGAGGCTTTAACTTCTAAAATTTATAAAATGAAAAGTAAGGACTGTAGAGAATATTTCAAAGTGAAAAAAAATGATAAGATTATTTTTGAGGAGAAAAAAAAATACTCAAAAAATATTTTGATCAAAAATTTAATTCAAACTGTAGGTGAACTCAGAGCGAGATAATTTTTGAACCAGTGGTAAATTTAAGTGCAATTTGAAAATGTTTCCAAAAATGATACTAAAAAATTTATTGTTGTCCAAAACTTTTAGATGCCTGTATTTTCAATGCTGCTGGATTGGGAAATGTAGCTTTAACCTTCCGTTAGACACGCGCCCCTCACAGGTGCATCCCTACTGCACTTCCATCTCCTTTGCCGTCAATAGATTTTTCCGGGGGTCGAGCCTAATGTTATGTCCGTGTAAAACCGACCTTAGAACATGTCGATGGAGAGTTGGAGCCGCTCAAATCACCCCTCAGGTGCAGCGCGACCATTGACGCAAGTATTATGGATGTAATATTTTTATGAATTAAATATATATATTTTATCTTATTTTCTGTCCTACTCAACGTAGCAGGTATAAATGGCCAAGTTATATACACAGAAAATGTTTACGGAGTAAAACACCGCAGAACCTTCTTGCGTCAATTGGTTGAACATCTTATGATGGAGGAAGAGATCCGACGCGGGAGCAAGAAAAATTTATCTTCGGTACTTCGCTAAATAAGTTTTTTGATATTTATATCTCTAAAGAATCTTAAATTGGTAACAATTAACTATTTAAACTAGACTAAATTTCATTTGGCTTTCAAAAAATCAGAAACACCTCATAGGTGCAACGCGATTAACCATGTCGGAAACAAGTGCGCGACTAACGGAAGGTTAAAGAAACACAAGGTAGCATTTAAATTTAGATATGTTTCTTTACTAGTAATTGAAACCTGGTGAAATTCAGAACAGTTTACAATGTCATCGTTAAATGCTATTTTCCACAAGTGTTTAGTTTCATTATAAAATTTATATCATTAAACTAGTTTGCAAGTAATAGTATTTAAGTAATGAAAATTGATTTGAATGTAAGGTATAATGGCACAAGGTTCACAAAAGGACAGGCTTCGCCAAACTAACTGTTTTAAAATATATCTAAAAATTAAATGCATATTTTAATTTTTTCTTACTTAAAACAAATGGAATTTATAAAACTGTACACGACGACTCAAAAGTGAACAAAATCAGATAAAATTGTAAATAGGATGAAACTGTTAAATGCAATATAAAAGACGTAAATCGAGTAGAAACGCAAAAATGATTGGCTGATGGGAGTTACCTAATAAATCTTCCAGAGTTAAAATAGAACTACCGTACGGCACGGTTTACATTGGATTACTGGACTAACATTGGTTAACATGGGCAAATGATTAAAATATAATGAACCCGCAAGTAAAACTTTATAAGTACTGCTTTGGGGAGGAGAGTCAACCAGGTGTGGCCGCATTACAAGATAAAGATTAAAATCTGTTTTTACTTAGTGCAATTCGTTATAAATTTTAAGATCCCATTGTTGTTGAAATACAGTTGTGATGAACTGTCTAATATAAGGTTTTGTGTCCGAGAAAGGTATAGAGTTAACACAGCAGATCGTGCAGCCGAATCGGCCAATTCGTTCTCCTGTATACCGATGAGACAACAGTACCCAACAGAACAAAATCTATTTTTGTGAAGGATTAACGAAACAAAATCGGATGAGTATCACTGCGAAAACTTTACCAACTGGTGCAAAACGCTCATATTGTAGGAGTATATGCAAGTTATGTATCTCAGAAAAAAATTTAGTAACAAATTAGCTTCAAAACTATAAAGCATGTAACTAATTGAATCCTAATACTAAAGTTAAGATTGGTACTAATTTTGATTGAGCATATTTTTCTATTATAAAATTATACACTTGCTTAACTACATAACTGTTACTCAAAAGTATAATAGTTTATCTACAAATAATGAATGAATGATTACTTATTCTATATTTCACATGTAAGCAAATTCTTCAATGCAATATAGAATCTTGTTTATAAAATTGAATATATTGCTTGAAAGTATCATATTTAGTAATTAAATTTCTAACTATTCAGATAATTTTATAACTTGGTATTGATAAAATCAAAAATATTGTTCCCCTTTTTCAAAATCATATTAGCTTCAAGAAAAAATAATGTTTAAAAAAATATTTTTACTAAATTTTATATTTTATTAAAATTTCTTAAACTTTTTACTAAAACGTAAATAGTTTATTTTTATCTCAGTATATTTATTTTAACAGCTATCATTAGTTTGATCTTATCAAAGAAAAGATAAAAGTAAGTAAAGACTGATAGCTTTAAAAAAAAAACCTGACAAGAAAAAAACTAACAATATTTCACACATGGATATTTCTTGGACATTCCATGCTGCTCCCCTAATCCACAGTTAGCAATGTAGGCGACAGTAAAACAAATTTCTAATTTATGAGGGCTTTCCAACCATTCAGCAAATAGCATGAAACAAGATTTTTTTTTCCTTCATGAATTGCGTAGACATAAAATCATACCCCAAATATTTCTTAACCTGAATCTGAATTAAATCAGTTTTTGAATGGAGTAAATTTTTATTTATAATAGTAGAAATTTTTTTTTCTATAATATGGTGTGGCATATTAATAAGAATTTGAATTATTAAAAACTCTCGATTTATTGTCTTCTATGCTTATGCTTCAATCTAATCAGAAAATATGGTCTGGTTTTATTAGACTTTGCTAAATATGTTTCTAACAGAAATGACTCATGTTGTGTAGTACATATATGAAGATAATTTGTCTCTGTAATATTTAAGTACAAAAGTAATTATTTTGTAACATTTTTAACTAACACTAAAATAGGCTTAATTTATGTTATTTAACTGCGTGAAAATTATAACAATTTTTGTGTTTTGAAGAAATAAATATATATAGTTTAGCTATTGCAAAAAAAAAAGTTTAAAGCTTTCCATCATTCCTTAGTGAAAGTGAAAAATTGAAAAGGTCCATTGAAAATGTAATAAATTCTTAATAGTTTTAATTCACATAGAAAACAATCAACTTAGTGTGGGTGTGCAATCAACAAGTGCAGGGAGGAAGAAATAAATAAAAATTCAACTACGTCTGTTCAGATTTTAATAGTTTTAAACAATTTACCCTCCATTAGTTGTAAAATCCAAAGAAAGCCATTATGATATAAAAAATCTTGTGAGTGCAGCCTTAGTTGATGCAGCTGGCAGTTCTTGTATAGAAACAAAAGGCACAATTCTGGACTTTAGCACAATACTAAGAGGTATTTAATAACAGGGTTTCAAGACATGTTTGTTTGTAAGGCAAATAAAATGAAATCGAACAGATTTACATTAACAAAGTTGTAAATTTTGATTGCCAGGAGACAATGAAAACATATGTCTTACACAAGTTGAAAAACTCTAATAATTCTTATGCATTTCAGGATTGTTTCCAATTCTAAGGGACAGCAAAAAACAACATACTGACATGAAATATTGCAACAGAAATTAATAATTAAAAAATCAATTAAACACCCAATAGGTAGAAAAACTTTTTTTACGTGTTATGTTCTGGAAGACAATGTGTTCTTAATTAAATTTGGCACATATTATTGCTATATAGTATTTTTTTTTTCATGTTAATCTGCATCTGTAGTATATCTCAATATTTTAAAGAAGATAATTGGAATTGTATGATTTTATTATGTTAGTGAGTTTAAAATTTACTGTTCCCTTTTTTTCATTTGCCAAAAAAATTCAATTTAACAAATGAAAAATTTAAGCAAAAAATCTTTTTTAATACGACTTAAATCGTCACATTTTATTATTTATTGCATCAACTAAGCATAAATAAATTTTAAATTTCTTTGTATTAAAAGAAAAAACAAATTTCTCAATGGAAATTGTTCAGTATGTCTTACTATATTTCTTTCCAAATATAAGTAATGCTGCAATTTAAGTAAAAAGCTTATTTTCAAATACATTTCATTTGGTGATAGAATTACTTACAGTTAACATGCATTAACAAGTTTAGTTTGAAAACTCAATCAAAAGCTTAAGTTATTGACTGCTGAACAAAACAATAAATTATCTTATTTTGGATAATCACTTTTGATGATCAAATATGGTCGTTATTCTGTGCACCCCAATTAAAGATAGTACACTTTATATTTTTATTATTAGTGGTATTCTCATTTATTGTTAAATATATTGATATCATTTCCCCATTTAATTTTGCATTATTAACTTTAAAAGTAGTTCATAAAATTTAATGCTGTACCAAACCTAATTTAATATATTTTATTTTCCCTTGTGATATTGGGTCAGTTCTCTGACTTGGGAGTTTCTGAAGGTCGCTCCAAGATGTTTTGACAATATTGTTCAAACACATACAAAAAGTTTTGTCGGTTTTAATATGAAGAGTATAAATATTCTAGCCTTCTCTATTTGTTATAAACAAACAATTCTGCATTGTAAACAATCTTTTCATCTAAATACCAAAAAAAATTCCAACACTGAACTGGCAGTATTATATAACTTTTTCATCAAAATAAAAATTCATATGAAATATATATTTAGAAATTGAGAATTTGATTGGTCCATTTTCATCAGAATGATCAAACCAGATTCTGCAAAAAATCATTAATTGTATTTTATTATTCTTGAGAATTGAATTTTTGTAATAGAATTATTTAAAATATTGATAAAAGAATGATGACGCCACTTGAAAACTAGGAAATGGATAGTTTGAAAAGGCCACGGTCAAAGGATACTTTATTTTTCAAAAGCTCCGTGTAGCAGAACTGATCCATTTTTAAGCTCGTTACTTTGAATTACATTATTCTGTATTATAGACTAAGGGAATGAATAATCACAGCCATCAAAACAAAGCAAATATAGGTTTATAATACCTGCTATTTAACCAGTTTGCTAAAAAAAAAAAAGTTAAACACTTACTAAATATGTGAATTTTTATTTTTTAATAACTTAGAATTGTTTACTTGTAATTTAACAGTAAAAAAGTCTATGCTGACGTTGAATATAATGCTAACACAACCCAACACAATGTTCATGTTATTAAAAAAATATATCAACCAAGTTTCATTAAAATATAATTTTAATGTAAATTTTAATAACAAAACCATGTTGAAAGCAACATGCTTAAAAATACAATTATTCACCATACTCACAGGGATATTTGCAATATTATTTTACGAAAAAAGTTCTTGATCACATAAAGTTACCCAGTTCTTATTTAAAAAATTTTAATAGATATTTCACAGATTTAAATATTACTGAAAAATTTACCAATATTACAATTAAAATTCTATTAGTTACTGAAATTTTTTTTCCAAACTGAATCATTACAATGGCAACATGTATTTGCATCACAAACATTCATATACAGCTAGATTAATAAATCATTCTAATCAAGATAAAGCTAGAAAAAAAAAACTTTAATTTTCAAAGTATGAATTAATAAGTAAAAGTATTGCTTTTAGAGTGTAAATTGTGCCAATAGAATTAAATATTCACAACCCTATGTGATTACATGTTAGTGTAAAATTTCAATATTGCTCAAAATCACGTTATTTATTTTTATTACAAAAATGTCCTTATGAAAATCGGCAGAAGTGAAATTCATGTTAAAAGGGTAAGTTTTATGATTCAAAGCATTACAAAACACATTAAAAAAAACTCAAGAACAGCACAGTATTCATTTCCTTCAATGTTGGAAGCTTATTCTAAAATAAAGTATAAAAACCATTTATTATTTAAAAATATTATCAGACAAATAAATAATGAAGTTACAGTAGACTCTTGATTAACTAATATGCTCAGAAATTACTTTATTTTATTAATGCAAATTTTATGAAAAGTTTTACAAATTATAAAAAATTTAAAATTATTAGTATAATAGAATATATTAATTTAATACGAAAATGAATGAATATACACTTTTAAGAATTTTCAGTTGTGCAACTAAAAAAACAAAGAAATGTAGCTTGTCCTCCTGTTTTAAGTTTATCATCCATTGAGCGAATTTAACAAAACAAATATCTCAAAGTTATTTCAGGAAGAATACTTTAATATTCATGCTCTAAGTAATGAAAAAACTCTTTTGTATTACTGTTTGCTACTATCTTATTGCATCACCGTGATATAACAGTTTCCATCTTTCCAAGGGTGGGGATAATTCAAATTATTAACAACTCTACTTTTGAGTCTACTGTAGTTCATCAATGAATAGTATTATTTCACTTTAAGTTATTACTCATCAAATTAATTTATTTATTAGAATTTGAATCCATGATTTTCAAATAAAAACAGTCTCCTGGCAGAAAAAATTAACATAAAACATCAGCTAAACAATTGAGAAGTTTAATATAACATTGGGCACATCAGAGAGATGTGCTATAAACAGAAGGTTAGTGTATTTTTGATCAGAGCATACATATGCTTTGTGTTAACATATATTTTTTGTACAAAATGGTGAGAAGCTCATAAGGCCACTGTACACTCTATATAAAAAGGTATGGATACCACAGTTAAGTGGTAAACAACCTTTAAAGAGAAATAAACTAAAAAAAAAAATCTAGAGTAAGCCAGATGAGTCCAATATAACAAGTTGGTCTCTTTATCTATATACATAACAATAAGAAGCACATTCAGCAACTTGTATGCAGTTTTCTCATGAAGATGATAAAAACTTCCCTTAATTAAAAGGACAGGATATTTTTTTTTTTAACAATATAGCACCTTATCCTCTATTAGAAGAATTTTATTTAAAGTTGGCTGACAGCCAGCTACACTTAAATAAGTTGCATGAATATAACAATTTTCTATTGTTGTTAGATTTTCAATTTCGCGCTATTTTAAGCTTTTGTTTTTACCAATCATAAAAACATAAGTTTACGATAAATTAAACGTTATTTTTCATATTGTCTTTCAAAGTTATCAAAATAATGATTGCACAATAGGTATTTAAAAAAACAAAGAAAAACCATAAAATGTGAAAACCATAAGAAAATAATATGCAACCTCAAAGTCAAAACTATCATTCATAAGAAAATTCATACAAATTCCGAATGTTGCAATTGAAAATATATACAGAGTAGTCATTCGCTCTTTTAGTCCACTTTTTATAAACACATGGATACAAGTTATTTATGCAAAAACTAAAACTGTACAACACTAGGAAACTTTTGACATTTATTATTCACAGAAATAAGGCAACAGTCAAATTTAGACTTTAAATCAGGACATGTAACAAATTAAAAAACAGCTGGCACAGATAAAAATCTTACTTCGTGTTTAGTACAAAAACATTTGTACATAAACTGCTAGATTACAATTTATAAAATTAAAACATTTTTACACTAGCTACAAGGTTGTGTTTAACAAAAGCAAACTTCTCATTCTTTTTTAAACATTCTAATGAGACCGAGCAAAAATCAGACAAAAACCCATGCAGCAAAATAGATTCTGCAGAGAAAAAAAATTTTTATTCCCATAATTTATGGATTAATATGTCATAAATAGACAAAAATCAAATCAATATATAAGCTACAAGGCAGTGTTTAACAAAATCTTATTCTTTTCTAATCCTCCAAAATGTAATTGAGCATAGAAAAATTGACACACACAATTTTAGATGCTTTATGCCGGTAGGAGAAAAAACTTTGCTGTGATTTATTTGTATAAAGCAAAGGGACTTGTATTCTCCATTCAAAATCATAACTAGAAATCAAATGAAAAATGTAACAAACAGCAGCAGGAAGAAAGAGTCAGATAATGTTGTATCTGAACTAAGCCAGCTAGTAATTTTTAGTTCAATCTGATTGATATTTTGAAGATCCAGTTAAACCCATAACTGATTTGATACTTGAATGAATTTGTAAAAAATTCTCATCAAATAACAATATTTCTATTTGTGCACAGAAAACCAGTTTTCTGTGCATAAAAACCAAAGATTGTACCCCAAACTCAGTACGGGGTTGGGAGTAAGAAAGGGTTTATTTTATATTACTATTATCTGTGCCAGCTATCTTGAAACCCTAATGATTTTTGAGCATAGTGTGAAGACTCACATAACACAATTTTAATAGTAATGACTACTTTGAAAGCTTTATCATACAAATATATCATATAATCAACAAATCTACATAAAAGCTCACAAAATTTGATGAAAAAAAATACTTCACCCCACCCATCCTATTAACTTCCCCTTTCTCAATCAGCAAAAATGGCAGTCCTACAATTGAATTACGGTATTGCTTGTTTTTTTTAATTACAGAAACCAGTCATCACAACTGGTCTGAAAGGGGATAACAAAGTTGATATGCAGAGTTGCACTTCATTAAAGTGATTTCTTTACACTTCTCCAATTCTCGTATTTATCAGTTTCAGAAGTGTAGCAAAAAATGAATAGTGTACACATACTATATATGTGCAGCATTCATGGCAGGTAGATGGCCCCCACTGTTTGACAATACATATCACTCAGGCCTATAGCTTTTATCACCATGGCAACAAACAGAAATCATTTAATGACTTCTTCACTCCAAGTATTAACAAAAGGGAAGACATGAAACTACTGAAAAACTCATGTTTTTAATCAGTTTGCTCTTAAACACTTAATGTGAAGAACTTAGCAAGCAATTAAAAACGATTGCAGATAAATAAAAACAACAACTTTACAAAAAGTGTATCATAATAAAACTAACAAGTAGCAGATAGTTACACTTTAAAAAAGCTTTTATCTGCTGCAGATAGTTGCACTTTAAAAAAGCTTCAAACTGCTGCTGATAGTTGCACTTTAAAAAGCTTATTCGTTCTCATATAAAAAGTTTTCCTTAAAAAAAAAAAATAATGATTAAAAACAAATTGATTAACTATTTTCTTCATTTAACCAGCATTCTAAATGTCATAAATACAAAATAGTAAATATCTTCCAGGTTATAAGAAAAGCATTAAACAATTTTTTTCATTTATTTCAGGACTTATATTTTATGTACAAATGATATATCAAATGGAATGAAACTGGACAAAAGCAAGGCACAATATGTGATATTCAATAATAGCAAGAGGCTTATTAACTAATTCCATTCCCGAGAAATTACTAATAAGAATCAAGCTACAAATAAACAACATACAATTATGTAAACTTAGGAGTTTAAAAAATAATAATTAAAATGCGTTAGACTCTAAATAGACAGCAACAATAAAAAATAAGAAGATATTTCTAAAACAATATAAAGTTGAAGTTTATAAATAAAAATCATGCAATGAAACGAAAGTCGAACCTTAAAATATTGAAACAATAAACACATGAATCAAAGGCTAAAAAGTTGCTCACCTACATAATTATCTTGAAAAAAAATTTAAAAAAACTAATCATCATCCTCCTTAAAAACATTACGTTTTGAATGATAAAACTAGGCTTGTCAATCCCAAGAGAAATATTGAGTTGCCACGGCAAATTTGGTCGGCCAAAGACCCTTTTATTTGAATTTCATATATTTATCACCACTTTAAATCACTCCTTTGATATAGAACAAGTGCTAAGATGGTTGCATCAATCCATTCATATGCTGTAAAGGAGGCGTAATGAAATGTGAACTATTTAGAGTGTTCGGGTGTGGATGCGAGCCCGCTGCATGGTTTGAGTTGCGCAAAACAGAGTAGACATCATCCATTTTGCTAAGCTGCTCAAAGAAAGGGATCAAGTCCCGCAGTTCTGTGTCTGACATATCATCGAACCATGAATTCACAGGCACCTGAAATAGATAAGTTCAATTAACTTTCAGGACTTACTATCTGAACCTTAAAACTTAATTACAATTATGTAACTGATTCTTCACTGTGGTCCGAAAAACTAAAGACCTAGATTACTGAGTAAAGTAGCGCCGTTCTTTTCAGTGTGACCTTTGTGGCGCTTTTGATTTTGACTGGCTTTCGCCGATCACATGGTAAAACAGTCGCCATTTTGTTGACTGGTTTGTATGGTGAAGTATCATTGCCTTTGATCTGTTATTTCTATTTTAGCTTTCCTTTTTTGTTTAATACTTTTACATTAATAATGACAGGTTATTGCGTATTTAGGTACTCTAATAAGTCAAATTTAGGCTTTAAATCATATCATTTACCTGTTGGAGATGGCAATAAATGACAGAAAGTATGGCTACATAAAATTGGCAGTGTAAAAGGGCCTCCAAATTATACTAAGTACGATAAATTTTATAATAAGAAAAGTTATAATTATATTATAGTTGCAGGGGTTTGTCCAGGCCGAATTTACTACCGTTTAGTGGTACCTTCACAAATTCAATTTTAGGAAAAACGGTAGTTTCACAAAATACTTTTTCTTAAAATTTTATTTTTTAATCCTTAAGAAACGATAAATCTATATTTTTGTGCTGATTTTTTATATAATTTTTAATTTTTCACAAATTATGTTTAAATTTTCACAAAAAAGGTACCTTTCAGAAAAACCTAGACAGACCCCTGAGTTATAAATTTGTATGAATAGTTTAGATAACAAAAAAAATTCAAAAATCTAAAATATGGATGATAAAAATTTATTATTAAAATTCCAATCACAATTATCACATAAACCTAAAACTTATATAAGTTACTAAGTACCAATTTCGTTTTCTCAATACTAGTAAACGTTCCTAACTGGAAGAAATGACAATTATTTTTCTTTTTTCTATCCCTTGAAAACTTTCGAAATAATTTGCTTTGTTATGTATCCACATATGTTTAAATTTATATTAACTACACATTTGTTTAAACTGATAAGAACTATTTTGTTAACTGCACCTATTTATTATATATAAATTATTTTCGTTAACTGATCCTGATTAAAGAGTAATTACACAAGAGTAAGTTTCAGACGTGACAACCTAGCAAAATTAACATTCAGGAGTTTCCCCAACAAGAATTCAGGAGGGGTAGAAAAGGTGTATGTTATGCGACACTTGACACTTATAAGTAATTTTAAATAAAACATTTATTAAATATAAGAATACAAGAAATTTTACACACTAATAGAGTACAAATTGTGGAAGAATATTAAATGNCAAATATTTCTTTCTTTCTTTAGTTTATGATTATAACAACTATTTACTGATAAAAAATGAATATTAATCATGAATATAAGCTTATAAAGTATCTCTCTGGCTCTCCCTTACAAACAAATAAAATAAACTGTGTTTTTAAGTTCCACTTTTGAAAATTTGATTTCCGGAAACTTCTGTGATCAATGAATTTTTGAAACAGCTGGACCTTCGATCTCCGAAATCTTCCGGATCACTGTTAGCGAAAATTCCGGAAATCCGGATTTTTTCCGGAGCACAATCAGCCCTGATAGTATGATAATTGAGAGCACTTTAATGTCTGTGCCGAATTTAGAAGGAGACTCAACTGGCATAAATATTGCCAATTTGATTTTAAAAGAATTGAATGCAAATGGTATACCATTTGAAAATTGTCTTTCTCTTGGGGCAGATAATGCGCCAGTAATGATTGGTGAAAAAACTGGCGTCGCTGGTGTTTTGAAAAAAGAAATTGAACATTTGGCAGTCATTGGTTGTGCTTGTCATTTGATAAATTTGGCTGCCCAAAAGGGAGCAGTTGTCATTCCTGACAAGATCGATGAATATCTCATAGATATATTTTTCTATTTAGAGAAAAGTGCCAAGAGGAAATCTAGGCTTCAGGAATTCCAAGCTTTGTTCAATGCTGAGCAAAGGAAAATCCTGAAGCATGTGCCACCCGATGGCTTTCATTGGGACGGTGTTTGGATAGATTAGTGCAGCAGTGGGAGATTCTTCAAAGAAGAAGTGAATGGCCAACACTGTAGGAAAAGAAAGCGAGATTCTACCCCTCCTCCTACTACATCAGCAAGGCAGAGCATATTGAGTAGAGAGGAAAGGATTTTCCTCTTTCTATCTTCAGATTTAAATAAGGCCTTGTGCCAATTTATCCTTAATATTCTACCAATATTTGAGGTATCAAATGCAACGCTGCAATCAAGCACTCCCCATATCCATTTGTTGAGGAAAATTTTAATGGATATGTTGAAAGAACTGTTTTCCAGATTTGTCAAGCCTAGTGTGATAAAGACATCTTCTCTTCTAAATCTTGATTTTAGTGAGTTGGAGAATCAAAAAAGTGATACTTGATTTAGTCATAGGCGAGAGGGCTTCAAAGATTTTGGAGAATTTACCGAAGAAGATTTTTTTCAAAACTGTACATTTATACTATGTTAGTGTTTGTGACTACATGATAAAAAAATTTCCATTCAAAGACGAAATTTTAATCAATGCTGCAGTGGCCTCTCTCAAGAGGATTGATGAAGCCTCATTTTCATCAGTTAAGTACTTTCTGGAACGTTATCCTATATTACTTTCACCTAACACTGGCAATATTTCCAGTGTTGACGTTTTGCAAAAGCAGTTTTGTTTTCTGCAACTTGAGGCAATACCTCAGGAAATCCTGACAGAACGAATTGATAAGGCTTTCGCTGGCAACATACTTGTAAACTAGTTTGTTTACCAAATCAATGTGATTTTGAGCTAGCCGCACTTTACTATACTCAACGTGATTTTCGTTATTCGTTTTGTCTTCCTTCGTATACTTTTAGAAAATGTCTAAATCGAAACGGAAGTATGTTACCAATTTTAACAAATCATATACTAATGAGTTTCCTTCAATAATTGCATCACGTAAAGGAAGCACTTATGCTTTTTGTTCAGATTGTGCATGTGATATATTAATCGCTCAGGGAGGCAAGAATGACATTTTGCGGCACATAAATGGGTAAAGCACAAAGACGATGTGAAACTTTTGCAAACTAACACGAAGATTTCTTTTCCCGCCGATGACGGTTCGGTCATAAGGTTGAAAAAAAAGAACGATTTAATTGTTGCCAACCGTTGAAAAATATGCACTAAAAATTATAAAAAAAGCAAGATATAATATCGATTCCAACTATCGAGAGTAGGAGTAGCCACTTAAGTTCTGACGTCACTGCATATCGTCATATGAGGTCATCGCATTCAACTCCACAGGAAAGGAGAGGAAAAGGATTCCGACGAATCCTAGTGTAAGGGGGCGGGTCAAATAGGAGTGTTAAAGAGGGGGGAAAAGGAAGCACCTGCAGCTATGCTTTAGGCAGATGGTAGTTTGTTAAGAGAGGACGGAATTAACGCGGGGGGAAAAACTTACACACTCGCGGAAAAATCAAATAATTTTGAAATTGGCCGTAGATTGAGGTAAAATTCAGGAGCTTTTCGTATCGATTCCGGAGGGCGGGAGAAGAATAAAGAATTCGGGAGACTCCCGCAAAATGCGGGAGACTTCACACGTCTGCATTCACACTCACAGGGTTGCCACAGAAAAAAATTAACAAAATAGTTGCTTTTAATAGCCTAAAGCATGAAAATAGTAGCCGAAAACTATGAAAATAGTTGCCTAAATAAGAACAAAAATTCATCAAAAATATGACTAAAATTTTGTTAATGACTTAATTATCATATACCATGATCCATTTAGTCATGTTGGTGGCAAATATGATAATTTTAATTTTTATATAAACGTTAATGTTCTAGCACTATTTTCCCTTTTATCAATAATTTATCTAGGAAATATATATACAGTGAAAAATGATTAGTCAATTTGAAATTCATGCATCATATCGTTTTAAAAATTGTTTTTTTCTTTTTAAAATCGTGCAGAATTTTGTAGCCATTGAAATAGAACCATCGAAAAGGCGATCGAGAAACGAAATAGACTTACAATGGAATCTGTACAGACTGAACGAATTAAAAAGTGAAGACTCAAATTTGCAATTCAAAATTTTTAAAATTTTTTAAGAAGAAAAAAAAGCCCAGTGTGTTCAGAAACTATCGTGGGCTGCAGATTTTCAACCCAAGTCATACTAAAAAAAAAAAACAACAACGCTACGGCAACAAAAGGAGTACAGAAAAGTCTCCCAACTGGAAGAAAGTTTAGAGTAACAAATTAAACTAAATACAATATATTATATACAATGAATTAAACATAAAGAAATATTTAAAAAAAAAAATATATATATATATATGCAATCTGAAAAACTTACTGCATTATCTGGATGGAAGATATAGGAAGCAGGAGAATTATCTACTATGATTACTTTATGCAGATCACGACCTAACCTACCAAGATCCTGAAACAAAACATTAAATTAGAAAAATATACTTTAATGAAAACACAATATTCATATATTGGTCATGTGAAACTGGTGTTATACATACCTTTACATAATTTCCTCGATAAAAAACACAAGATTCCCTAAATAACCGTGAACGAAATACACCCCATTTGTCTAAGAGATCAGCAACTGGATCAGCATACTAAAAAATTTATAAAACTTAATTATAAGTAATTGAACAAAAAACAAAAAAAAAGTAAGTTAATATAAAGAGGGCTACTTATAACTTTTTTAAATCATATTTGTGAAAGAAAAACAAATATTGAAATTTCAAAATTATGGGAACTTAATATTTAAATTCATAAATGGTTTAAGGAACGATAATGCATTAACCAATCCAATCTTTAAAATTAATATTTTCATTTAGTAAAAACAGTCAGACTAATACAGAGGGGTGATTGTGCGCCCAACTCAAAAATCCTGAAAATTTCTTGAGTAAAATCATTCAAAAAATAAATATCTTTATAAATTTAAATCATTGAAATTTTCAAAACATGATATTCTAAATGAATTATATGCAGCATAATTTAAATGAATAATTAATTATGTGTAAGTTTACTTTTATCTCTAATCACATTTATTATTCTACCAGAAAAAATATTTACAAATGAAAGAGATGCCAGGTATAAATTTTAGTTCTAATATTTTTAAATAAAATATACCAGAATTTTTATATAGAAATGTGATCGATGATTTCTTGAAACTTCTGGACTTCGGATTTACGGATCACGGTTAGCAAAAAATCCGGAAATCCAGATTTTTTCCAGAGCACAATCACCCCTGACTACATAACTTTTATCATTTATTCATACTTTTTAACTTGTGTTAAGCAGCAAATTGATATGAATCAACTAATAACCCTTTTAAATGCAGAACTAGAATTATTTCTTTCTTTTCTCTCTTTTTTTTTAAACGTTAGGATAAAGTGTTTCTCTTGTGAATTCCATACTTTAATTCTAAGATAATTTTATTTCGAATAAAATTTTTTTAATAAATGTTGGTTTCATAAAAGAAAATATTACATAATATATAAAGATCATAGTTACTTTAAAATTTATAATATTTAAACAACTAATTTAAACTGTATTGTCTCAATCTTCTTAATTCCTTATAAATTAACCATTTTACGAATAAATGAAATAAAAAGACTGGACTAGAAACTGCTGGACAATAATTACAAATACCATGTAATAACAGAATATACTCAGTGCATCTCTATGTGACAATGACTACTTTTCATGGGTCTAAAAAAAAATTAAAAAAGAGATTTCATGACAAAAAGAGTTTTATTACAACAAATTTGTGTCTTATTACAACAAATTTTAGTTAACGCGCTGAAAATCAGTGTTAGTCAATAACTGTTAAGCTAGTAGTAAAAAGATGCTCCAACTAAGAGAAAAAATTTGAAGGGAAAAAAAAAACTGAAAATCGGTGTTATAAAAATGCAGTTAAAAAGGAACAAAAATGAAGTGAATACGGAACAATGTCCTTTGAGGGGAGTTATCAGTGTAGATAAATAGTCAGACACAAGCAAGACAGAAATAAAGAGCAATAAGCATAATTTCTAGGTTTTACAGAAAACTGTATCTTCTTATAACAAATTATTTATTTTTAACCGACTGAAAGACAAGTTTTCCAGGGGATCCTAAGATATTTTTCTTTAATGCCATCCCTTTTCCATTGAATTACAAGGAACAAAAATGATTTGTTATGCAGGAAAACCACCACATGAAATGTTAAATCAGGATCTAACACTTAAAACTGGCAATTCTATACTACAAATGAATAACTCTTTGCAATTGTTTCATAAATAACTACTAAGTTGAAACAATCAAAGTACAGTGCACTCCCGATTATCCGGGTTAATCACCAGGACAGGTCGCACAGACAATCGAAAAACACAGATAATCCGAAAACTCCTTTTGTTAAAAGAAAAATTCAATATCAAAACAAAAAATATAAAAATTACTGACATTTGCATGCATAACATCAAACTAGGAATTTTCCTTATTAAAAAATGTGTAATGCGTCTTCGCCATATATCGATACACATATTTTACGAACCGCATTAATGTCACCGTAATCAAATCCTCCCATATAATCTAATAAAGTTTCCACAGAGCAGCAGAATGAGAAATTGTATTTCATTCATTTACTACATCTTCTGCATCAGTTACTATCATCACTATTTGATTTAACAACATAACGATGTCTTCATCAGTCAAATACTGGAAGCCAGGCTCACATGCATCACTTTGAAACCAATCTTCTAAATTTTCTTCATCAAGAATTTCGAAACCTTAGATTTCTTTTGCTTGTTCGAGAATACTGTTATCATATTTTTCTTGAACATCTGAAGAGGATTGTTCATCAAGCGGTATGATCTTTCTCCAAGATCGTGATAACGTAGACGATTTTACCTTTGACCATGCTGCTGATATTCCATATACTGCAATCCAATAACGAATATTGCTTCCAAAAATTTGGTAGTGTTATAACTTCATGAATCAAATTTTTTTAATCTTGAAAATGTTTCTCTTTATATTTTTTGTGTGACTCCGGAATGAGCACGGATAATCCTCAAACCGGATAATCTGCACACGGATAATCGAGAGTGTACTGTATATGAAATAAAGTTATTAAAATCTGCCACCAAACTATTTTACTTACTTTAGCAAGGCTAGCTGTAAATAGAATGCATTCGTACATTTCTCCCATTTTTTGCAAAAATTCATCTACGTAAGGCCTCTTAAGAACATAAACCTGCAAAAAATGGATAGGTTAGAAATCAAACTGAAACAGTTTTATATTTATGAAGTTAATAAGGGTGATTAGCATTTTTAAAAGCTTTACGGTTAAATAATTTTGCTTTTAAATGAAACTTTTTCTCAATTCATACATAATAGATTATTTTAGTTAAACTACAGAATATTGAATTAGATTATTTTTTAAACAAATTTTTTCCCACACATTTTACACAAAAGTATTTTCTCCCAATCATATATAAAAGGATATACAGTGGAATCCAGATTTTAGGTATTCCATCAGACTTGCATTAAAAAACACATGAAGTGGGAAAACATAAAATCGAGGTAAAAACAATCAAAATTCTAAAATTAACAGAAATTTTATTTATTTTTTTCTTGTTTTTAGACCTGATTTCAATATCCCTCTAAATACATACTATTGTTTGCAAATTTATAAATTTAATTTTGGGTTTACAATCACAAATAAATATTGTTTCTGAGTCTTTTTGCTTTAAAACTCTTCATAGGAACATCTCCCCTTATTTTTTACTTACCTTCCTCACTTTTATCACTAACATCCGGAACAGGCCTTAAATCAAATATTGAAGGAAATGAAGAGTAATGGGATGTGTGTTACAGTTGATATAAGCATCACCGTTTTCAGAAGATCTTCAATTACACAATTTTATTTCAAAGGGTCAATTTTCCCATTCGACACCGAGAAACCTACTTTATTAAAACCATTTATAATGCATTTTAGTCAACCAAGTCCAAGGCTGTAGAAATCAAATACAGGGAGCCTGCACCTTTAATTTTGCTTTAAGAGCAATTTGCAGGTATCCAGAATCAAGAAAAAAAATATTATTATCTAACCTGTTTAGAATAACATTCCATAAATGATTAGATTATTCCCAAGAATCAAAGATTGAAGTTTGAAAAAAATTCACATACAAGTTTTTGCAATTTCAGCTTTCATACATATTTTAACCATCCCACAACATTTCGAATTTGGATTCAAGGAGGAAATCTCCTCTCACTGACATAAGGACAATTATTTAGAATAAGAAAAAATAGCAGAACAGCTTCAAAAAACTAATAAACAAGCCTTTTTTTCAAAGAAAAAACTCTGAATAAGTTTCTGCGAGCTTTGTAGTTAATCTGTTAGAATAAACATATAAAGTGGGATTTTCCTTAAGAAAAGATAACGTAAATCCAGGATAATTTAACATTATTGGCAATTTTCACGGACAAGTAGAACGGGGGACATACAAAACAGACAACGTAAATTAGGGGTTACACTGTATGAGGGGTTTCAAAATATTCTCAGATTTGGAAAGAAAGAAAAACTTTTTTTAATATCATGATTTTAAAAATCATGTGGAAACAAGCTGTAACAGTAACAGCATAAGAAAGAAACAATGGATTCATGATTTCAAAAACCAAATAATTAAATATGCTATTTGAAATTTATGAGTTGTAAAGTCAGAATAAAAACATTGCACTATTATTCACTTCATTAGGGCTAAATAGAAATACTGCTGTGATGCATAAATTTTGTTACAAATCGGAATTTGTAACAAAATCCTCATTCATAACTGGTGTCATACTATCATATGTTGATCAAAATTCTGCAAAAATTTTATTGGAAAATACATTTTTTATTTGTGGAAATCTGAATCATCGATCTTGAAATTATCAGAATTCAGCAAATTAGCGGTAAAATCACATGTCTAAGTTTATCATAATGCATAATATACACAAAAATAAATTACCTGATGAATAACTCCATCAATTTCCACAGGAACTATGAAATCAGCATTACTAATTGGCTAGAAAATTAATATATTATTAATATATATAAAAAGAATTAGCTTTAAAAATAATATAAGCGAAAAAAAACTCGCAAAACAAACTTTTATGCTAATTACAAAAATTTTTATTTAGCAAATGCAAAGATTTATAATTATCCTCCAAGAAAAAAAAAATGCGTACAAAATTAATGAACAAGAATTTCAAAAGCACTGATAAATTTTTTTTTAAATTAGAAAATTACTTTCAATAAAAATAATTCAACTGCGCTATAAAAAGTTACATCAAGTTGCATTGCAAACCACACTATATAAACATATTTGAAATTCCTTAAGGCATACAACAACTAACTCCAGTCAGAATAACATAAAAATATAATGATTCAAAGTACAATATTGAATGGAAAATCTACATTAAGTTGGAAAAGCTGCAAAAAAATACATTGCATTGTTATCCAATTAAATAACATTACATACAGAGTTGGCAAGGTTTTGAACACAAACTAAATTGAACGAGCAAACGCAAACAAATTAAAACCCACAGTACATAGTTTTGTGGATTTGCATCTTTTAAAATTAATTTATTGAAAGATTTTGAATTTAAACTAGTTAGCTTTAGTCCTTCTTAATAATTAAACTGTCCAAAACTAGATAATGCAACATAGATAATTTTATTTGAATACTCAACATTTATGAAAAAAATAACAAACAAATAAAAAAAATTTAATTAAGTTGCCACTTTTAATTAGATCTCCCCTTGGAAATATATATTTTTTTTAAAAAAGAGAAATATCTTCTGTAAACCTTCTGGTGTTCTGATTTGTGTAATTTTAAAAATCATTACGAACATACTCAAAACAAAATAAAACTTAAATGAACAAAATATCTAACAATGCTGACATGCAATTTTTAAAAGTACTTTTTAAATAAAAACGAAAAATTACCTTAAATGAACTATGAACAAGAGTTTCATCAAGGTCGATGACGAGGCACATCTTGTGAGCATCTTGATGTTTGACCTGCGGAAGAAGGTGTTTATCTTGAGGAAGGAAGCCCTTTAAAACAATAAAAAAACCAGAGAAATTGAACCTTCGTGTTCTTATTTCAAAATCACTAACCTAACTTTGATTGTCAAGATATTAACATAATTTTTTTACAATGCAAACTAAATTAAAATTAACAGAAAAATATATTTAAACTTAAAAATAATAAAACTATTGCGAGATGTTCAAATTAAAAAAAAAAAATTTCATGAAGGAAATATTTAAAACACATCAATAAACATTACTGTCATAACATAATTCACTGTGAAACTATATATGAATTTCTAAAACAAGGTATCCAAATGGAGTTATAACAACTGAACAAAAATCTGGTCTTGCTTTCTTTATTAAGTTTTTTAAAAAAAATAAAAAAAACACGGTGGAAACTTTCTGGGCCATAAAAAAAACCTATCACAGTACCTATTTTAGGTTCCTTTTAGAAAAAATGAATTTAAAAAGTTGGTACTTTTCTGTTAGAAGGGGATCTCACCTAACCTAAAATTTATTGAGAATCATCAATTTATTGACATTAACAAGTCTTGTTCATTCTTTGAAAGAATTGTTACTATTTCAACTAGGTGACAAAAATTCCTTTAACAATTGGAAGAATTTTACTAAACGTCACAACTAGCAAGTTTTTGATTTGATAGCAGAAACTATGTTTTAAACTACCACTTCAATAACTTTTTGACAGATGACTACCCTGAAATATTACATTTTTTATGATAGTTAAAAACAGTATTGATGCCTTGTGCAGCATCTTTACTGATTACCACATGCTATTAACTACTTCTTGAATAATTAAGTAAATAATGCTTTTTTTTTAAAAATTATTAATATGCATAACAATTGGAACAGTTCTTACTTAAGGTAGACACAAAACAGCCTCGGAAGCTTGCCCTCTTTATTATATAATATTTATATGTGTGAAATAAGAATTTAAAATTATTTAAGTTAATATATTTCAGTTATAATTTTGACACAAAACTTAAAAACATAGTTTTTATCATTGTTCCAAAAGAGCACACACACTACAAAATTGATAAACCAATTGCAGTGAAACATAAAAATTTAAAATAATCTTAAAATGAAAAGTAAATGCCATGTGAAAGTTTACCTTAGATGATCTAGTGCTAGATTTTACGTCTTGGTTACTTTCAGCATGGATTGGTGGGTTTGGTCTCTTCGATTTTGCACCAAAGCAACAGAGTAGAGTATTGAGGAAGCCTTTATGTCTGGGTTTTTTCACAGACGTTAAAGCTAAAATAAAGAAAAAATTATATTTAGTTATACATAAATAGGAATCTTAAACCTACCAATGCTTTGACATTAAATCAAGAGCTTAAAACCCAAATGCTTTCTAATTGATTCGTTTAATTTAACTTCTCACTGGCATTGATAAGAGGTTTAAAATATAATTTTTAAATGTATTTGTAATGCTCAGATAAAAGAATTGTTTTTCAGCAATAGAAAAGCATCAATTAAATTCCTACAGGTATCGATAAAAGCAAAAAATTTTATAATCTGGAATAACATTAATTAAGTTTGCAATTAAGTTTCAAATTATGCAATAATAATAACATTACAATAAAACATTTTTAGATCAAAATGTATACAAAATCATCAATAAATGATCAATGCTATTTCCTCATTTTAATTTCAACTCATCTTTATTCAAGAACTTATTTATTTTTTACATTTACTTAATGAAACTTACAGTGCCTGCAGTTTAGATGAGACAGTCAGTATTTATAAAAAAGAAAATTGAGAACCACAATAGGTTACATTTTTCATATTAATGCTTCTAAAAAATTCAAAATAATCTTAAATGGAAAATCTGCAAAATTTGTAGGAGCTAACCAGCATGTTAAAGAATGGAAAGTAGCATAACCGCTTTTCATTTATACATTAAATCTAACTAAAATATCGTTACAACCAGCCTTGATTAGTTTGGTACTTTCATGCTAACAGACCAGTAGTATATTATGCAATATACTTACAACCATAATTCCCTTTATAATAAAATTGCAAGAATTATTTTTAAAAAATTTAACTCTGAAATTTCTGCATGCTCTACGACTTTTTTATCACAATTAAACAAAAATTTTATGTAATAGGTTGCCTTAGAATGATGTCTGATTATGACACAACCAATCTAATCACTGTAATTTTTTATTGCTTACAGTTAAAATTTAATCACTTATAACAAGTGAAATATGCTTCAATGATTATAGTTCTGAGACTTTAAAAAAAAAAAAAAAAAATTAAAAATAGAATAAATGTTACCCAAATAAAATAAAAAATTTTAATTAGTTTCAGCTGTTCAACTCAACTTCAGCAATGCAATGGAATTTCATACAAAAAAAAAATAAATAAATAAATCAAAACTGGAAAATCTTGATTTAATGAGCAGGGGTCTGTTTAGAAGAAATTTGGGTCCGTTAACGGACCCTTCACAAAATATCTTTTCATAAAAACGGACCCTTCACAAAATGATTTTCCTTTTAATCGGATCCTTCACAAATTTGTTTATCTTTATTATTATTTTGTTAATCGAATAAACCCTTTCCAGGGCAAAAAACAAGAAAGATGGATGTAAACGAATTAAGTTTTGTCTTCGGCAGACGATTCTTNAATTTTACACATACCTATACCATTTACACATACCTATGATGACCTGGAGAAGTAATTAAAATTTACAAATATGTCTTTCTTTCTTGAGTTTATGATTATAACAACTATTTACTGATAAAAAAAAAATGAATATTAACCATGAATATAGGCTTATAAAGTATATCTCTGGCTCTCCCTTACAAACAAATAAAATAAACTGCGTTTTTAAGTTCCACCTTTGAAACTTTGATTTCCGGAAACTTCTGTGATCAATGATTTTTTTAAACGCCTGGACTTCGATCTCCGGATCACTGTTAGCGAAAAGTCCGGAAATTCGGATTTTTTCCGGAGCACAAGCAGCCCTGTGTGTGTAACAAGTGAAATAAATATATCATAGCTTTAAAGTGAAACAGCTAGGTCGATGATTTAAGGCAATTGAAGAAAAAATAATAAATAAATATAAAAGTTATGGAAATAATTTTACTAGTTAAAAATTTAATTTCACTAATTTAAGAATTATAATTTCAAAGGCAAATAATAAAAATGCTTATAACTAGCAAATCTTGAGTTAATGTGCTTCGCTTGTAAATCGACAATATTTTATTAATTTCAAACAAAACAAAAATTAAAACTCATAGACTTTTCCTTTAGCGCTGATTCATCGATAAGACATTATTAAATCCTCCCTCCACGCAATACCGAAACAGAAACTGCAGATTACATATTCAAACATATAAGGAAAACCTGTTTCGGTAACCACTGAATGCACTACTCATATGTTGGACAAAAACTCAACACGCGGCTAGACAGGTTCTGCTTTATGCTGGAGGGTGAAATTAAAAGCTGTTCTAGTGTCACAGCCATGGGCAAAGCTCGATTCCAATTTGAGTTAAAAATAAATCCAACGAATGGGATTTGGAGAATTATAAAAATGTAACGTTTCATTTTTCACTGGACTCTAACGAATGTAAACACGAGACTCTAAATAAAAATAAAACTTGTTTTATACGGGTCACGTGAAATTCCAGCATCTATTTATTACGTCATAAAATTCTCTTTTGTCATAAAAATACAGACTCTACTTGTAGTTTTATTAAAAGTGGGGTTATGATTTTTAAGGATAAACCATAATAATTTATCAGGAAATGTGCACAATCGTTCCATATTTCATAATTAGAGTTAATTTTTCAGATATTAACTGACTCTTCACAAATATAATTAAGAAAAAATAATTTATGACGGATCAGTTAGGACCTAAATTTCTCTTTAAAAGACCATAATAAGCTTTTATATTTTCTATCAAATTTCTGAAAATAATTAAAATAAATCATCAGGGGTCTGTTTAGAAGAAATTTGAATCCGTTAACGGACCCTTCACAAAATATCTTTTATAAAAACGGACCCTTCACAAAAATGATTTTTCTTTCAATCGGACCCTTCATAAATTTTTTTACCTTCATTATTGTTTTGCTAATCGAATAAACCCTTCCCAGGGCAGAAAACAAGAAAGATGGATGTAAACGAATTAAGTTTTGTCTTCGGCAGACGATTCTTCCATTATTCGTCCGAAATGAATATTCTGCGTTCAGCAGTATAGACTAAATACCAAATATTTGTATGTTACATTTCTAATTTAGAAGCAGCAATTGTTGGTTATTTTTTAAAATGTAATTTTTTTTAATTATAATTTTACAGTGTTGAGCATAATCTTGTATATCTTTACAATTTAAAAACTCCTTGAAAAAGCTTTTTTTCGCAATAACGGACCCTATTTGCACAAATTCATAAAAGCGGACCCTGGTTGAAAGAATGCGAGTTATTTTTTCACAATTTCAAGAAAAACGGACCTTTCAGAAAATGTCTGGACAGACCCCTGATATGTAAATAAAAATATATAAATTCTTGATCAACGGATCCCAAATGTTGTTCCGAGAAACCCTCCATGAAAGGGTTTCAAGAGTTCCCAGAATTTTTACTTTTTTTCCCCTTAATCAGCAATGAAACCTTTTATTTATATTTAGATACAATAATCGATTATTTAAATAATATTTCGGTTGCCGTTATGGAATTGTTTAAAGCAAAATGACAATGAAAATAAAATTGCATTTACTTTTGTATAAAGAATATTTTTTCTTATTACAATATCATGAATAAATTATGAAAAAGACATGCATTTATGAAAAATTGCATTAGTATTTCCCATTGCAATTTTCTAATCAAAATAAAATAACTAAATTCGTTAATAAGGAAAATATAATTAACTATAATAGCATAATATAAATAATAATTAATAACATTTCTTTTTAACTATAACTTCAACGGAAAACCATGATTTGTTTCATTTTCATTATACGTTTATTCAACATACACAAATTCAGAACTAGAAACAGCTATAGGACTACGAAATCAACTGTCGAACAAAAAACATAATTATGATAAAACGATGAAAGAATAATTCCAGTTTTTAAATATTTTTAAAAATCTTTTATAGGTTAATACGCTTAAAATTGTCGTTATATAATTTTTTAAAAAGGTTGGGGTTCTGCCGATAGAAAGTCGGTCACTTAGTGAAATTGGGTACCGTTATTTTAGATAAACGAGTATGCGTATTTTTTCAGTCTCACATTTTCAAAAGCTTTTCATTCATCTATAAATAAAAAGAATGATATTTTAGTGTCCAACAGCAGCCTCGCACATCAATTAAATCGCTTGCCACACACAACTGAAAATATCTCGCATCAAATTTCGAATCTAAAAATCTTGGACGAAGTAAGAGATGAACTTAATGTCTTTTTTCAAGATATCCTCTTATTTTTAAGTGATGCCCTTCGCGGTGTGGTGATAAATTTGGCAGAAGAACAAAAATAAAAACACGGAAACAGCAGCATCATTTGACGTGAACGCTATCATAGAGAAATCAAACAGCATGACAATCATAATTATTATACTCGCTCGAAATTTCAACTAGTTTTCTTTTGAATCTCCGAAAACGTTGTTCAACAAACAGACGACAAAATTTGAATATTTATCTGAGTTGTAAAGTCGGTAAAAGAAACGTTCGATTTCGATTGAGGACTTTTCTGGGAGTATTGACTTCGGAAATTTTCATCAAAATTTGAAATACTGAAATTTTCTCCAAAGCATAAGAAAATATTGATATTATTACAAAGTAAATGTTAACTTGAAATTATATGTTATATTATAACAGTTGAAGAAATAAATCATAACAAATGCATTTACAATATAAAATATTGTACGAGAAGAAAAAAGCTAGACATCAACATCGCATACGCACACTATCAAAACATGCATTAACATCACAAGAAAATTTAGTAAAGATGAATAAACAAACTATGGTACATTAAATTATTTTTTAAACTAACTTTTAACAACCAGTTTATAGAGCGGACTCATTCATACATCTATTCATTCATCCGCAGATCGTAATTTTGACTTGAAACAGAGAACGGTCAACCTCCACAATCCAAGGACCTTACCCTTACTCCCAGAGGTATGATATGTTATGGGAACATGGGGAACCTTGTGACCTGACAGACTTAACGTGCACCACTCACCATTTACTACAAGGGAAGTATTTGGTCGACGTGGATCGAACTCACGATCTGATGGACATGGGCTCTACCAAC